GAACTTAGCTGCGCCGTTCCCTTGTTCGGCACGCTGGCTCAGAGCAACAAGCACACTTTGTGCTGAGGTTTCTGGAATCAGCGCTGCTTTCAAACATGAACGTGAGTCCGCTCGGTGTCGTTAATCATTTTTACCGGGCTGACTTCGACATGTGCCGGTGAATCAACCCACCTCCATGTCGCTAGTTTTCCACCGGGTGGTGATGTTAGCCTCTATGGAGCTAGGATTGGGACAATATTCAGCGTAACTTGTACCAAGTTTTGTAACTTTGAACATGTTTCATCACATGTAACTTTGGATTCATAACTTGTAACTTTAGTTTTCTAACTTGTAATTCTCAATTCGTACTTGTATTTCTTGTTTTGTAACAGGAACATTGTGGTTTGTACATGTATTTTATATTTTGTAAAATCAAACTTTTATTTTGTACATTTACTACTCATTTTGTAACATCAAACATTCATTCAGAAACATGAAACTTTCGTTTTGTAACTAGCAGACTTCCAAATTGAAAAAATCAAGGTACAAGTTTGAAATCAAAACTCTCAAAACACACATTTCATTCTACAGGTACAAACCTCAAATCTACAGTGTTACAGATCTTTTTGTCTCGATTCTAGCGTCAGTGGGAGGAACTTGGGTGGAACCAATGAGAGCACGAGTCTTAGCTTAGAATCACATATTCTAAGTTAATTGTGTGATTTGTAACAAAAACAAATCATATATCTATATTGGTGAGAAGCTCTCTGCCGAGCGGTGGAGGCGACAGAAAGGCTGTTGGCTGTGTTTCAATCGCCCAAACAGCACGGAAGCAGCCGGCCAATTGCTGACAAGAAAATCAAACGGTAGGAATGGGAATCCAATCAGCGTCGACGTTGTTTCAGAAGCATGATGGGCGATAGAGGTACCGCCCAAGGCTTTCGTTGGTGTTCGGTAGAACTCGGCAGAGTCTCGACTACTCCAGCACATTTTTGGTCGTGACGCAGATGTAACATGGACACCGCCAGTGAGCCTACAACCAGCATGGATACCGGATCTCAGCAGCCACTGAATTCAGTTCGGTCTCTTCTCCAGTATCCGTTCGAGAGGAGAACTATGGTGGAAAAACTTAATGTCAAAGAGCTTGAACCAGATCAGCCCGACGTAAAGATAAGCCAGCAGGAGAAGGAGAGAGGTAAACTGTACACACAGGCTTCTCCCGAAATTGGTACACCAGGAAGGCTTGGCTAGCTGGATGCAATCACGCTAATGCATTATTTTGCTTTCCGTGTTTGTTATTCAAAACGGCTGGGACAGATAAGGCATGGATTGAGTCAGGAGTTACAGACATGAAACATTTTTCTGAGAAGGTGAAGAAACATGAGTTATCCCGGGCACACATGGACAACACGATGAAGCTAGCTATGCTAGGCAGAGCTAACATTGCCATGCAGCTAGAGACGTGGGGCACAGGCTTGCAGTGAAGAAACACAAGGAAGAAGTGGATCAGAACCGGCACATTTTGTCCAAGAGAGAGATGTCAACACAGTGTATGAGCACAAGGATGACCTCCTCAGATTTTTCCAGATGATCAGAGACTCGGATGACTTTGATACAGTCACTGAGAGAGAGGCAGGAGGCTTTGTGAGAATGCTGGAGGAAGAAGATTTCGGCTTTCTGCTGGCATTGTGTCACAAGATCATGCCACATGTGGACATGCTGTTAAACCAGCTGCAGAAGAAGAACATTGACTCTGTCTCCATCACAGGGGTCATCCAGAGCTTCACCAACAGCATGCAAAAGATCAGGTACATACTTGTTTATTTAATATTATTGTGATGAAATTCTCCAGTATGTTAGTTTCACAAACAGTAATGTGGATGTGGACCATTCATGGTCATGTTATTTTATGTGCAATTTAATGCAGTATTTTTCAACCTTGGTCCGCAAGGCAGCGTGCCAATAGTCAGACGCACCTGGATTAATCAGTTTGTCCAATGATGTAAGACAGGAAATAAAAGAGCTGTGCTTAATTCAGGAAATAGTGAAGTTGTGCACAAAGCTCAGAAAGCACAAGTTTGTTAAAAAAAAATAGCACAGCCCCACCAAAAATATTTTTCACCAGCCGCCACTGGTTGCAGTTTCATCATCTGAGCTGCTTTTTAAGATCTAGGTAAACTTGTTCAATTTGAGGTTAAAAACAAACGTTTTCACATATTTTCCATGTAGTTTTTTGCCAGTTCCTCTTCTGAAAGGTAGACAATTGTTTTTCTCTTTCCCTCAAAAAATCTTAATATTCTCCTAGTTTGGCCCAGCACAGATCACTTCCCAATTGCAGCAACAGCCTTATATCATAACCACATAGGTGGAGAAAATGTTCAGTAGCAATGAGAGAGTTTGCTGTTGCGTTTAAGTGATGTTAACTATTATTTAACATTTAAACTTATTTTCTGAGTTTTTTTATTTATTCAAAAAACCCTGGTAAGGGATGTTTTTCTGTATTTGGAGCATCAGAAAAAGTTTTATGGTGGTGGTGATGTGTTAAAGTCACTGAGAAACTGCATGCATGCAGTTTGTTGTTTTGCTGCTAATACAGTAGCAGGTGCAGCTGCTAATACAGTAGCAGGTGCAGCTGCTAATACAGTAGCAGGTGCAGCTACATATTTTAGCAATAAAAATGGTATGTTGTCATGGAATTCATGCATTAGTTTTTGTTTGCTTTGAACCCAGAGCAGAAGTCACACGCCAGACGACATCAACACTGCATACTTTAGTATTTGTTCATTTATCGCAAGTAATATCAATATCGCAATATTAAGCACCGTTATCGAATATTGCAGGTTTTCCTAATATCGTGCAGCCCTAATATGATGTTATAAGGTTTCACTTACGGTGGCACTCCGTTGTAATTTTGAAACAACTGAAGGCACTGGAGAAATGGTTTTCTTTTGCTTTTTGTACTATTTTTGCTACTGTTTATGCACAGTAAAAGTACAAATAAATACAGAAGCTGTATACATTTTAAACTTGTCATTATTTGAACCATTGTGTAATTATCACTGTATATATTTCATACAACAAATCTAGGAAGATATATATATATATATATATATATATACATACATACATACACACACACACATATATTTATCGCTATCGTAATAAATACCTAAAATTATTGTGAAAACAATTTTGGGCCATATCGCCCATCCCTACTAGTAAGCTTCTGAAAAACGTGAGGACCAAGAAAATGTCCTCACTTTGTAGGGGAAACGGTCAAAATGGTCATCAGTATGTACAACACACACGCACGCACACACGCACCAAGGGAAGATGTTTCTTTTTTTTTTAGATGAGGGGAACGAACTCACCACCTCATTGTTTACTTTCTGGTTGTCGACAAACGTAATATGCCATTTATAACGTTAGCTTCACGTGTAGCCTTTAAAAGTTGTGTTAAATGAAATTACCTGAGTAGAAATGAAGAGAACACACCCTCTTTGATGGAGGAATGTAGTTGAAAGTCAGATCTTTCCTTCTCACTGCAGCTATCCACGCCATCTGGCGTCTCCTTGTGAGCTCCTCCACACATTTACCGTGATGTTTTCTCCACTTCGGGAAGCGATAAAACTTGACTCCGTTGTCCACTTTCTCTCCCGTCTTGTCGTGTGAACGACTGTGACAGTCCTGTTACTGGGTCCACCTGCTGCAGAGAGACCTCACCTGTCCCGCTGAAGGAAAAGATCCAAACATACAAAAAGCATCAAGTGCTTCAAAAGCTGCCTGCAATAAAGAGAGCAGGATGAAGAGCTTATGGCCGGCGTGCTCCAGTGATGTTCACCCTGAAGTGGAAAGCAGTCTATATGTGCTGCGTCCGTCATTGCTCCCTCAGCTGAACGAGTTTCTGGCTGGAAAAGAAGCACAGCTTCAGGGGGGGAGTGGGGGGAGAGATGTGAGGTCTGAAGGGGAAAAGAATAAAAACGATGAGGGTTGTAATGGTGCCATCAGCTCATTCTTTGGCATTAGTGGTGTGGTGTTCAGGAACATAGCCATCAGCCTGTGGGCCCTGCCTGCTTTCCACCAGCTTCTCCTCAGAGGTGTTTTCCCTTCAGACACCGAGCCAATTAAATTACTAAGAAGTAGGCTGGACAAACTCCTTTCTCCCTACAGAGTCTCTGTAGCAACAGAGGAGAGAAGCCTGCAGTTGACAGTAGAGCCACTGGGTTTGGTTGGTGAGGTTTTTCAAAGCAGTGTAGCTGATAGTTGCCATGTCACCATCACTGTCTCTCTGAACCTGGACCTCCTCACCTTCTCCTGTTTTCACTCCCTGACTGGCGTTTGCTTTGGTCTCACGAGCCACGTTTCATAAGACAGTTTTCACATGGCCCACCTCCCGGGACGCCTTTCTGTCCTTTTTCTCTGCACCCAGAGCCTTTCAGCTTCGATATCAGTTTCTGGACTGGACCATCGTGGGAGGAGAAGAAGTTCTACGCAGCGATCCGAGAGGCCAGCTTAGGGACGGTGGAGCAGGTTCAACTCATGGACACGTTCTCACATCCTGACCTGAGCCAGACCAGTTACTGTTACAGACTCACCTACCACTCACACACACACGCTCTGTCACACACACAAGCTCTGACATTCCACAAACACCTGGAGCTTCTATTGTCCTCTCGACTGCATGTCACCATCAGGTAGCACGTTGCAGAAGCTCCTCGGAATGTTTGTGGCTGAAACGAATCACGATCAGAATGAAACTCATCAAATATTCACAGTAGTTGAAATTATCTGTGAAACATCAATAATCCTGTATGTGTCTGAGTTTAATCTTATAATAAAACTTATTAACCATTAATCTTTTGATAATAAACCACAACATAAAAGTCACACTCAGTAGTTTAAAAACATACGGACACAGATGAGTATTTTATAATAAACACCTGTTGTAAAGCTAATGGTGTCATGGCGGGTGAGAGTTTCTTGACCCACGACATGCAGAATCATCACAAGAAACCGGCAAGTAAGTAAAACGTTCTTTATTATTAAATCAGAGGAACGGGAACAGGCGACGTGCAGGCTGGCAGCAAGGCTCCAGGAGAGGATTCTGAGGAGGGAGAAAGAGTGAGTATATGGAGGGAATGATGGAGGATAATATGAGGAGGAGAGCTTACTGATGTAGATAGTGGTGAGAGCCTCTGGAAGGGCTAGGTCAGGTCCGGGTGAGCAGGAAGGCTCCAGAAGGAGGAGGGGCTGTCGAATATGAGAGGAGGTAGGAGCAGAGGCTTGGTGGGTGCAGGTGAGCGGCTGAGAGCGGGCGGCCAGGGGAGGAGACAGCATGAGATGAAGTGCAGGAATCTGAGCTGGTATTGAGATGGTGGAGGGTGGAGTGAAACCCAAAGCTGAGCAATCATCCGGCGTGGTGAAGTGTCACGCTGCTCCTTAAATCCCCTGGGCCTTGATGACGGGATCAGCTGCAGCTGGTGGCTCTCAGACACACCCACCTACAACAATACTCAGAACAAACAGGTTACATGCAGGAGGCTCACCACGGACCGTGATAAATGGTCCTGGTATTAAAGAGCTGTTTAGCAGCACAGCTGCATTACTGCCATCTTCTGGAGTTTTGACCGCATCCAGTCTACTTACTGGTCCTTGTTTCATCAATAACTTTAAAAATAACCTCTGAAATTCAGAAATAAAACTAAACCAAATGCACAAAATAAGCATTAACAAATAGAAATACTTTTGTATACATGTTTCTGTCTAAATTGATTTTTAATTGGTTTATTTGTAATCAGCATTTGACTGAAGGGATTTATGTAATTTTTCAGATCAACTGGGTAGAAACCACATGTCGATGGTTGAAACAAGCAAACCCTTCATTGTCTGACTTTCACGATGAAGGATGTTTCCGCCCTCCTGCGGACAGAAGCTGTTACCACAGCGTTTATATCAAGTTAAACAAGATGATTGGCACTTCCTGTAAATACTTTCAGAATAAAATATACTACTTTAAAATTTCTACAGTTTTTAAATTAGTAAACACCATATTTCATCTAGATCAGTTGTTCCCAACTGTTTACCATGAAGACCCCCGTACCAGTGTTGAAAACAAGCCAGGACCCCCCCAACCCCATCTACAAACACACATCACACATGATTAGTTACAAACTGCACAGACATGCGGTGCTGTAACTCCTATACATATTTTTGATTACACAGTTGGGCGTGTAATTGGGATTTTAGAAAAGTAATTTTTTACAAATAATAAATAATCTTTGTAACCCAACAACCTCAGCACAGACACAGTTGTGGGGACCCCTTTGGAGGGTCAAGTTGGGAACCACTGATCTAGATAACGGAAAATATTTTCTGTGAAAACTTTTCTTTTATACCAACTACGTAACTACTAAAACTCAATCATTTAAAAAGTCTTGGAGAGAGTTTTTCTCCACTGCTTTTGTAGTCCTAATAAGAATTAATTAATCGCTCTTAGTCTGGCCCCTGACCCAGAGCCCAGTTGCCATGGCAGAACCTAACAGGGACAAACAGTCCCAGGCAACATACCTTCTGGGGTCATCAGGGCACGCAAACCCCTACACCGCGATAAGGTGGCGATTAATAGTAGAGGATTATTTTTTTTTATTTATTTTTTTGTTTGTTTACTTTATTACTAACCCAACTAACCCCAGCCCTGTTATGGCCTAACCCAGTTTTAGAATGCTAAAACTAAACGCTAAAACTAAACGCTAACACTAAACGCTAAAACTAAACGCTAATACTAAATGCTAAAACTAAACGCTAACACTAAACGCTAAAACTAAACGCTAACACTAAACGCTAACACTAAACGCTAAAACTAAATGCTAACACTAAACGCTAAAACTAAACGCTAACACTAAACGCTAAAACTAAACGCTAAAACTAAACGCTAAAACTAAACGCTAACACTAAACGCTAAAGCTAAACGCTAACACTAAACGCTAAAACTAAACGCTAAAACTAAACGCTAATACTAAATGCTAAAACTAAACGCTAACACTAAACGCTAACACTAAACGCTAAAACTAAACGCTAAAACTAAACGCTAAAACTAAACGCTAACACTAAACGTTAAAACTTTGAATGCTAAGTTTGAAGTTTCCTCCTGAGAATCTTCCTCTGTATCCACAGTAGTGTAACTAATTTTGCATTCTTCAATTTTGATCTGAGTGTAATGGACTTTTTGCTTTTTTTTATGAGAAAGAATAAAGGAACGTGCAATGCAACGCCACAGGCTGAACTCTACTAGAGCTAACACACTGACTAATCTGAAGTGCAGACCCCACATTTTTTTCTAGGCCTATCCAGCCACTCCTATTATATTCAAAGTGATCGACTGACATAATCCGGCTCTTCTGGTCAGCTTGGAGCTCCCTGAGATGTTTTAATATAGTGGCTTCTCTGGTAGCTGCTCCCGTGTTGTCTTTGTGGACACATCTGAGAGCCACGACTTCATCTGCCCCCTGTTTTAAACCCTTGACCACTTGTCTAAATAAACTTATCTAAGAAAATATTGTATAATTCAAATGACATTTCATCTAGGCTGTCTCTTCATCTGGCTTCCAGTTCCGAATCGTACTGCTTAAAGTTTGATAAATCAGCTTTCTGAAACTTGTCAACATCCAATTCTCACGTGTTCACTGGCTCGTCAGTATCTAAGTCAGACAGATCAGAGTTAGAATCTTCTAATTCACAGAGATCTGAGTCTGACAGATTGTTATCAGACAGATTCAGATCAAAGAGATTTGATTTGTTGTCAGCGGTCTGTCCCACGATGAAATCAGGTGACGGGCCGTTTGTTTCCTCTTCCTACATTATATAAACTTTCCTTTTTTCAAATGCCGATTCTTCATCTGTATCCAAGTCAGACAGATCAGAATCTGATAAATCAAAGTCAGACAGACCGGAGTCGAACAGACCAGAGTCAGAATCTTCTAATTCAGAGAGATCTGAGTCCGACAGATCATAATCAGATGGACTGAAATCAAAGAGATCTGATTTTCTGTCAGCAGTCTGTCTTACATTGAAATCAGGGGATATGCTCGGTTCTTCTTTCTCCATTCGATAAACTTTCATTTTTTCATATGCCCATATCACATATGAGCTATTGCTGGTAGGAGGAAGGTGGCTCATTGTTATAAATCTGTGATTTAGAGCTTCTTCTGGAGTGATCCGCTCTGAGGGATTCACTGTAAACATCTTTTTCAGGAGGTCTACGAAAGCCTGCAGATCTTCTAACTCAAAGGGGTCTTGTATTTCTGGATGAATCATTAAGAAGTCATCGATAGAGTCTAGCGCAATATCATAGTCGTCGGCATTGATCATTATCGTCTCCGTATACTCCTGTGGTGTTTTAAACCTCCAAGTTTGGTTTGACTGGTCAAAAATGAAAAAGCGATCCACTTTCGTTCCCTTGCCAAGTAAATCCTGGTCAGGCAGACCGTGGAGCTTAAAGATCTGCCTCATATTGATAAACTCACAAATAGTATTGTGAACATGATCTCCAAGAAAGATGAAGGCCAGTGTACAAGCAACAGCCCACATGTCAATGGCTTCAGTCAGAGGGAGACCTAAGTTCACCTCTGGTGCTCTGAAACCACACACCTGTATGGTATCACAACGCCATAGTTTGTGTGTTTCCATAGCAACCCCAAAATCTATCAGCTTGACTCTGAAAGGCTGCGACTGATGATTAACCAGCATAATATTGTCTGGTTTTATATCTGCGTGAGTCACTCCAGCATTCTTCAGTGCATTCAGAGCCACCAGCAGGTCGCGGGCAACCACCCGAACTTCACTGACATCTAGTGGTTCCCACTCTCTCGTTTTAAGTAAACCAAATAAGTCCATGTCCAGCATCTCAAACACTAAACAGAGGCTGTCATTAAATTCAAAGTGATCGATTAACTTGATCAGGTTCTTCTGGTCAGCTTGGAGCTCCTTGAGATGTTTCAATATAGTGGCTTCTGCGGTAGCTGATTCACTGTTGTCTTTGTGGATAAATTTGAGAACCACGACTTCATCTGTCCCCTGTTTTAAACCCTTGACCTCTTGTCCAAAAGCAACACGACCCAAACATTTTTGAATAATATAAACTCCTGATTCCCCAGTGATTGTTTGATCTTTGTATAATTCAAAAGATGTTTCATCTAGTCTGTCTCTTCTGCTGCCTTCCAGTTCTGGATCGTGCAACTTCATATCTGATAAATTAGCTTCCTGAATCTTAAGGAGTTGAAAATCTGATGTGTTCGCTGGCTCATTAGATTCTTCATCTGTATCCAAGTCAGACAGATCAGAATCTGATGAATCAAAGTCAGACAGATCAGAATCTGATGAATCAAAGTCAGACAGATCAGAATCTGATAAATCAAAGTCAGACAGACCAGAGTCAGAATCTTCTAATTCAGAGAGATCTGAGTCCGACAGTTCATAATCAGATGGACTGAAATCAAAGAGATCTGATTTTCTGTCAGCAGTCTGTCTTACATTGAAATCAGGGGATATGCTTGGTTCTTCTTTCTCCATTCGATAAACTTTCATTTTTTTATATGCCCATATCACATATGAGCTATTGCTGGTAGGAGGAAGGTGGCTCATTGTTATAAATCTGTGATTTAGAGCTTCTTCTGGAGTGATCCGCTCTGAGGGATTCACTGTAAACATCTTTTTCAGGAGGTCTATGAAAGCCTGCAGATCTTCTAACTCAAAGGGGTCTTGTATTTCTGGATGAATTGTTAAAAAGTCATCGATAGAGTCTAACGCAATATCATAGTCGTCGGCATTGATCATTATCGTCTCCGTATACTCCTGTGGTGTTTTAAACCTCCAAGTTTGGTTTGACTGGTCAAAAATGAAAAAGCGATCCACTTTCGTTCCCTTGCCAAGTAAATCCTGGTCAGGCAGACCGTGGAGCTTAAAGATCTGCCTCATATTGATAAACTCACAAATAGTATTGTGAACATAATCTCCAAGAAAGATGAAGGCCAGTGTACAGGCAACAGCCCACATGTCAATGGCTTCAGTCAGAGGAAGACCTAAGTTCACCTCTGGTGCTCTGAAACCACACACCTGTATGGTATCATAACGCCGTAGTTTGTGTGTTTCCATAGCAACCCCAAAATCTATCAGCTTGACTCTGAAAGGCTGCGACTGATGATTAACCAGCATAATATTGTCTGGTTTTATATCTGCGTGAGTCACTCCAGCATTCTTCAGTGCGGTCAGAGCCACCAGCAGGTCGCGGGCAACCACCCGAACTTCACTGACATCTAGTGGTTCCCACTCTCTCGTTTTAAGTAAACCAAATAAGTCCATGTCCAGCATCTCAAACACTAAACAGAGGCTGTCATTAAATTCAAAGTGATCGATTAACTTGATCAGGTTCTTCTGGTCAGCTTGGAGCTCCTTGAGATGTTTCAATATAGTGGCTTCTGCGGTAGCTGATTCACTGTTGTCTTTGTGGATAAATTTGAGAGCCACAACTTCATCTGTCCCCTGTTTTAAACCCTTGACCTCTTGTCCAAAAGCAACACGACCCAGAAATTTTTGAATAATATAAACTCCTGATTCCCCAGTGATTGTTTGATCTTTGTATAATTCAAACGATGTTTCATCTAGTCTGTCTCTTCTGCTGCCTTCCAGTTCTGAATCGTGCAACTTCATATCTGCAAAATTAGCTTCCTGAATCTTAAGGAGTTGAAAATCTGATGTGTTCGCTGGCTCATTAGATTCTTCATCTGTATCCAAGTCAGACAGATCAGAATCTGATGAATCAAAGTCAGACAGATCACAATCTGATGAATCAAAGTCAGACAGATCAGAATCTGATGAATCAAAGTCAGACAGATCACAATCTGATGAATCAAAGTCAGACAGATCAGAATCTGATGAATCAAAGTCAGACAGATCAGAATCTGATGAATCAAAGTCAGACAGATCACAATCTGATGAATCAAAGTCAGACAGATCAGAATCTGATGAATCAAAGTCAGACAGATCAGAATCAGATGGATTGAAATCAGAGAGATCTGATTTTCTGTCAGGAGTCTGTCTTACATTGAAATCAGGGGATATGCTCGGTTCTTCTTTCTCCATTCGATAAACTTTCATTTTTTTATATGCCCATATCACATATGAGTTATTGCTGGTAGGAGGAAGGTGGCTCATTGTTATAAATCTGTGATTTAGAGCTTCTTCTGGAGTGATCCGCTCTGAGGGATTCACTGTAAACATCTTTTTCAGGAGGTCTACGAAAGCCTGCAGATCTTCTAACTCAAAGGGGTCTTGTATTTCTGGATGAATTGTTAAAAAGTCATCGATAGAGTCTAACGCAACATCATGTTTGTCGCCATCGATGATTATCCTCTCCGTATACTCCTGTGGTGTTTTAAACCTCCAAGTTTGGTTTGACTGGTCAAAAATGAAAAAGCGATCCACTTTCGTTCCCTTGCCAAGTAAATCCTGGTCAGGCAGACCGTGGAGCTTAAAGATCTGCCTCATATTTTTAAACTCACAAATAGTATTGTGAATATGATCTCCAAGAAAGATGAAGGCCAGTGTACAGGCAACAGCCCACATGTCAATGGCTTCAGTCAGAGGGAGACCTAAGTTCACCTCTGGTGCTCTGAAACCACACACCTGTATGGTATCATAACGCCGTAGTTTGTATGTTTCTATAGCAACCCCAAAATCTATCAGCTTGACTCTGAAAGGCTGCGACTGATGATTAACCAGCATAATATTGTCTGGTTTTATATCTGCGTGAGTCACTCCAGCATTCTTCAGTGCGTTCAGAGCCACCAGCAGGTCGCGGGCAACCACCCGAACTTCACTGACATCTAGTGGTTTTTTCTGTCTAATTTCCATTAAGTCAAATAAGTCCATATCCAGCATCTCAAACACTAAACAGTTGCGATCATTGTGAACAAAGTTATCGATGAACTTAATCAGGGCGTTCTCATGAGCCTGGAGTTCTCTGAGATGTTCCAATATAATGACTTCTCCGAAAGCCGAGTCACGGCGATCCATAAACTTCAGAGCCACTGCTTCATCTGTTCCCTGTTTTAAACCCTTGTAAACTGCACCAAAATTACCTTTTCCCAGAAATTTCTTAAGAATATAAACTCCAGATCGCCCGGTAAGGATCTCGTTTTTGTAAAACTTAAGAGGCATTTTAGCTTAATTGGCTGTTTTCCAGTTCTGAATACTGAAGCTGAAAGACTGGTGACTGATAACTGAATCTTATCAAGTTCAAAATATGGATTGTCTCTTAAAACTGATTTGATTTCAGCTTTTGACTGTGATAGGCTACTCACCAAGTTCCTGTCGGTAAAAGAATGAGTCCTTCTAAATACTGTCAGAAGGGATGTTTATGCTACACAACCGCTCTGGAGCTGTGATCTGTTCAGAATGATATTTGGAATGTGATCCGACCTTTATATGACGACGCATAGTAGTGACGTCATCAAAGCACCCAGTGGTCACGTGACACAATCAAAGCACCCAGTGGTCACGTGGCATCATCAAAGCAGTGGTCACGTGATTTACGGTGCCCTTAGTTGCTAATGCTAACGCTAACAGCTCAGCGCTGCTAGTCAACATGAGCGGTTACTGGCCGGACTCGACGCTAAAACGACCCTTTTCTCATTTCTACAGATATTTTTTGACCGATAATGTATGTTTATTATTACACTAATTATGTATTTTATCAAAGCATTTATTTTTTGGAGCGCCACAAACATTTATCAACTTTATATTTTTAAAAGATATATTGCAAACAAAACGTAGAAAACACGTGGGTTACAGATCGTATTTAGCTAAAATAGGTATAATTGTATAAAAATAAGTGTTTATAGAATACACCTATCAATGAAAGAATGTGGTTTATAATTTGAGAGCTTCTGTTCTCTGCATGCTAGCATAGATGCTCTTCTTTTTGTCTTAATATAGACTTTAATGTCAGTAGTTCCTTCAGATCTTCCAAGCAGGAGAGATAACTGTTTCCAGGATTTAATCTTCAGTCTGTCTGTTCTCTGCCTGCTGTCAGATGGAACATGAGATGATCTAAACTAATTTAAAACACGTTTTTAATAACTTGGGGGAAAACATGTGATTGTAAATGCATCTATAACCCTGCTGATTGTCCTTCCACCCTAACAACTAGTGTAAAATAGTAACTAATTTATTAAAATGTTAATTTAAATAAAGCTATTTCTGGTTAAAACCTTATTAGAAAACAGCATATGTGAGTAAAAAAAACATTTTTTATTTATTTCTTTATTAAAAGCCAGAGATCATAATAACAGAGAACTCTGATAAGTTCAACCTGCACAAACATTTTAAGTCAGGCATTGACATGTTTTAGTCTCACGAGACCCCACAAAAGAACTGCTTCAGTGAGATCAGCAAGCTCCAGACTTCTTCAGGACTAGAGGATCCCTCTCTCTGACACCAGAACCCAGATGAAAAGAGACAAAAACAAAGAAACACATCATTTAGCACCACAACAAGCAAACCCCCACCAACACTCCAGCACCAGTACAGATGGGTGGTGTTTTTGGAGGGATTTTAGCTCCCTTACCATTCCTTTTAATACCAGTGATCCTGGAAAAGGCCCCATCACCTAGCCAGCTGCACCACTCCACTTACCAGCATTTACTCCTTCCCTGATCAGACCAGATGCTTCCACCCACCTGATTGTTGCTCATCACCACTCAGGATCATGTGAATACATGAAGATGGACATGAATGCAAAGGCAGCAGTTTGACCTGAAACTTATTAATTAATGATCTAGTTATTTATTTATGCTGATATTTCATTGTTAATAATTCTTCTTGTTCTGTCTTCAAGTAAAGACTCTAATCCCAACCTGACCGTAAGTGATAAATAATTTAACAGATGCAAATGAACAGTCCTGCAGTAAGTACCAACGTTGTCAAGGTTCTGTTGTTCAGACGTCCTGATTCAGCTCTGGTTATTCTGGAAGACACGTCGTGTTACCATGGTTATCCTGAGTGTGTAGCATGCTTCAGCAGGTCACGGAAGTCAGCATCATGTGGTTAAACTGAAAAAATAAAATAATTACTCATGTTCATGATCACATTTTACTTTATTGATGATATGCCAAATGCTGCTGCTGTCTGTCAAATGATCTACATCTCTAACTAAACTGACCATGGCCGTCTCAGAATAAAAACAGCTTCCTCTAGTTGGGATGGATTAGTAACTGGAGTTGGAGCGAGTAAAGAGCTGCATGGACAAATGAAGTTAAAAATGTTTCTCATGAAGATTTGTTTGTCCTCTACCACTCTGATGTTCACAGACGGACATTATTGTAATAGAATTCTTTCAAATATTTAAAACTGCACTGAAAGTTAAAAAGCTGAATCAGACACTAGTTTAAACTCACTAAGAATGTATTCTGTATCTTTACATGAAGGGAAAGATAGAAATTTATTAGAAATAAAAGTTATTAAAACTTAAACTGCATCCTAATTATGTCTTATTACTCTTTCCCCTTGACAGATGGTGACATCCTCAAACTAAAGGGAGTTCTTTTGAATGCTTTCATTCTTTGAAGTTTCCTCATCAGAATCAACCTCTGTATCCAAGATCTGTGTAACAATGAAATCTGGTGTATTTTGATTTGTCTTCTTCCCTTTTTTGAGTTCACTCAGATCCACCAGCAGGTCGTGGGCAAACCACCTGGACTTGACTGACATCTAGTGGTTCCCCCTCTCTCATTTGAAATAAACCAAATATATTCATGTAATATGTTTCAAACACTAAACAGAAGCTGTCATTATATTCAAAGTGATCGATTAACTTAATCAATGGTGATAAACTTCAGAGCCACTGCTTCAGCTGTTCCCTGTTTTAAACCCTTGTAAACCTCACCAAATGCACTGTTTCCCAGAAATTTCTGAAGAATATAAACTCCTGACTGCCCGGTAAGGCTGCATGGTGGTGCAGTTGTTGGCACTGTTGCCTCGCAGCACGAAGGTCGCAGATTCGAAACTCGGCTATGGCCTTTTTGCGTGGAGTTGCGTGTTCTCCCCATGCATGCGTGGGTTTCCTCCGGGTACTCCGGTTTCCCCCACAGATCACAACATGCCCTATAGGTTATACATTGTAAGTTGCTTTCTTCTATACATTGTTTATTTGGTTTTATGAATGTTAAAAACCTCCTTCACAAGATCAATCCATTGTCCATCTATCTTATTTATTACTGTAATCCATCTTATTTATTAACCTAATCTATCTTTTGATTATTTCCTAACTTTTTCAGAAAGCATTTCCAAAGAGCTTATAATTAATAAATTAAAGTCAATAAATAAAAAAACAAAAGTTAAGAAATAGTGAAAATACAAAATAATTTGCTGGGTGAAATTTTATTGCTGGTGGGCCGATTCTGGCTGACAGATTTGGGTGTTGGTTGTCTTACTTGTTGGGGTGCACATTTTGTATCGGTGTTCTGTCAATGTGGGCTTTACCTCAAAAGAACCTTGAAATCTCATCTCTACACAAACCGTATTTCACAAACCAGGAATATATATATATATATATATATATATATATATATATATATATATATATATATATATATATATATATATATATACATATATATATATATATATATATATATATATATATATATACAGACAGACAGAAAATGGGCTGTTTATACTTTAAGTTGCTGTAGCTTACAATTAAATGTATTATCTATGAAAGATTAAATGTTTTGTGGAGTGAAATAACAGGAATTTCTGGGCCAAACCCATCCTATTTCATAGGCATATCTCTGGCGTTTATAACAAATCAAACCTTTTGAAAATCGGTTTAAAACTGAGCAAGTTAGTTTTATTTAAATAGTATATGCACCATTCACCCCAGTGCAAAGAAAGGGGTCAGCTGTATGAGGTAAGATGGCCGCCACGTTCCTGCGTCGCATCCCATTGGCGAACAGCGGGGAGGAGGCATCTAGTGTTTTTATACATATCTATGCTGCTAATCTCGAACAAGGCAGCTGGAGAGTAGGACCTGGCTGCAGACATCAGCTGGTGTGTCGAGAACAAGATGGCGTGTCATTACTTTTACCGGAAAATCGACGAGCGAAAGACCTCGGCGGGAAGTTCTGTTTCGTTCCCTCCTGACTGCCAGTGGCAGTAAACAGAGTGGATGACTTATGCCAGAAGTGTCACGAGGAACATAAAACTCACCGTCACTCAGGAGGTAGCCGCCAGAGGCAGCACCGCCGAAGCGAGCGCGGACCCGTGGCCAACGTTGAGGCGGTAGAAGCGTGAAAACGTGCACGGAGTTGCCCAGGACGCCGCAGCACAGACGTCCGCCAGTGGCACACCTCTCATCGCCGCCCAGGATGTAGCAACACTCCTGGTGGAATGGCACACGATCCCAGGGGGAGCCACTGCACCCACTGCCGCATAAGCCATCGCAATGGCATCCACGACCCAATGCGACAGCCTCTGCTTCGAAAGGGCCCGACCCCTGTTCACACCTCCGTGACAGACAAACAGCTGGTTCGACTGCCGGACAGTGTTTGTGGCCACAATATAGAGCTGCAGTGCCCGGACCGGGCACAGCAAATTCGCCCGCCGTTGTTCCTCCGAATGAAATGGGGGAGGGAAATACGCCCCCAGCTTGATTGCGGCATTCACGTAGCCAGCGAGCAGAACCTTGGTAAGAAAGGCAACGTTGGGCCACAGCGTCACCCCCGACCCATCTGCCTTCCACCGCAGGCAGGCGGGGCTGATGTCCAGTGCGTGCAGCTCACTGACCCGTTTAGCTGACGTCACTGCCAAGAGAAAGGCAGTTTTCACAGACACCACTGCCAATGGGACGGTAGTCATCGGCTCAAAGGGTGGCCCACACAGGGCCTGCAGGACCAGGGGAAGGTCCCAAGCAGGTGCCGGCCTGCACAAGGCAGGACGCAACCTTCTCACGCCCCGCAGAAACTGGGTCACCAAACAGTGAGCCCCAATGCTCCTGCCATCCACCAAGAGGTGGTTGGCCGAAATAGCCGCCAGGTGTACCTTAAGGGTCGAGGCGGCCCGGCCCTTGTCAAACAGGTGTCGGAGGTACCGCAGAATCTCATGCAGGGGACAAGAACCAGGGTCCACGTCCCTGCCGGAACACCAGGTAGAGAACCGCTGCCAACAGCGAGCGTACGTGGCCCTTGTAGACGGAGCCCTGGCACTATCCAGCACCTGCTGGATGGAGGGCTCTAAGCCGACTTGGGGCTGCCTGCCCCTTTCAATGGCCACACCGTGAGCCGAAGATGATCTGGGGACGGATGCCAAATCCTCCCCTCCATCTGAGACAGGAGGTCTCGTCTCGCCGGCAACCGCCACGGCTCTCCGTTCAGCAGACTGAGAAGCAGTGGAAACCAGATCCTCATGGGCCAGTCTGGCGCCACCAGAAGGACCTCGTGTGACGAGTCCACTCTGTTTACTGCCACTGGCAGTCATCCAGGAACTCACAGAACCATAGTTACACCGTAACTTCCGTCTGGTCTTTTTTTGGCGGCCACTACATTGGTTTTGTGTTTTTGTTTCAACCATACTCGGCGGGCTTCAAAGAGGAAAGGTAAGGATGAAATTAACTAATTGTTGCAACCGTTCTTAGTTCTTAAATGTAGGCACTATAGCATTTAAAGCTTTACCAGAGAATTATTGCAAAGGCACCGTGTTTCATAGCTAACTGTATCAATATTAACATAACTAATGCAGGGAGTTCACAAGCTAGCTAACACAAAAGCTACATAAATAAAGCTATCAGCAATTTTAGCTTAGCTTTAACTTAGCTATTTGATTTTTCTGGTCTCCCTGTTTGTTAAAACTGTTAAAGTAATAATATTAACTTTATATATAATTTAGATATGATATAAAGACCACGATTTCTAATACTGACTTGACTGAAACGTTATTAATACCCTTTTTTAATTAAAAAGCGTAGATTTTCAGAGATTTGTAAGTGGTTTCAATCACTAGCTTTCATACGAGGCTAAAGTTAGCTTCCGATTCGGGAAATGGCTAAAGGGCTAATACACCCAATTTTTCTCTACTCTGACCATTTTTATTCTGCTCTAGCTCAAAACCTACAACACATACACTCTTCAAACCTGTTTTAGATTATTCTGGGCTCGTAGGAATGCATAAAACATAGTTTGTGATTTGTGAAACCTTCCTCTGATTTGTGAAACTTCAAAAAAGACAGATTTATGAATTTATTTTTCAGCATCTGGCCCACACTGGAACTGGTCCTGTGCACCCAGAAATAAAATGTATTTTCTGGACAAGCTTAGCTTTCAATATCTCTAAATATTTTTCAGTTATTGTGTGTGGTGTGCTGGATCATTCTACTGTGGTTGCACAAATCAGGTGTCCTGCAACAGGTACAATAACTTTGAAATAGTAGCCGCTTCTCTAATTAATGCCGCCCTCCTTCTGATTCTGTTTCAGAATAATCCTAACCTTATAAAAAATAGATATTTTTGTCGACTGACTGCTTTGATCGGGTTTGGTTTATATTAATATTACCGGATTTAAGCACATGTAGCTGCAAATCATTCAGAAGTTACAGGCCTTAAATATAGATCTAAAATGAATATCGGACTTCTTCAAGTGACACTGACAAAACTCCTTACATGTGCTTGTATTCTTCATTTGCTAATAAGATGTATTTTTATCTAAATTACAGGACAATCGAGGCTTTGAAAAATGGAACCCAGGCAGTGATTTCAGATGGTGAAATCAAGGTAATGTTTAATTATAATAAATTAAGACTCTAAAATTGGACATAGGATAATGCAATCCCTTGTTTTCTGTGGTAATGTTGCTTATTTTTAACTCTTGTCTCTACTCAGACTGTGTATAAAGCCTGGTTTATGCTTCTCCATCAGCTCTGCAAGGGACAGACACGCACGGATTGACGGAAGCGTTTTGCTCTCATACTTCTCCGTCTCCTGGAGAGTGTTGCAAAGCAATTGCCCTGCAGGACAACAGAGGGCGTAGCGCTGTTCTGTGGTATCCTGTCATGTATCGGTCCAAGATAGTGTGTTTATATTGTGTTTTTTGTATTTAAGAGATTTTTTAACACGGACATATTTGTCTCTCATTCCACTTCATGCGCTCGCCACCTCTAAACCTAAACCCACTTTTCCTGTCATTTCCGTCCACAAATAAAACGCTTGCTGCGCATCTTTTCACTCCTCCAGTCACAGGGAATTAAACGTTCATGATTTTAGAGTTTTTTCGCGAGGTATTCTTCAAGCTTCTCCGTGTCTGCCGCCAGTTATCCTCGGTTCTCTTTATGTTTTTGAGGGCGCACTGGCGGAGCTGTAAACAGCGGCGTCCTGACCAATCACAAGCTTGAGTAATCTGTCTCGTTCGACGGATGTTTAAAAAAGAGAGCTCGACTCCGTCCGTCCTTGCGGAGCTCTCCGGCAGGCACGCAAGGACGTTGCGTGTCTCGGCACTGACACAGAAGCATAAATCAGGCTTAAGGATCTCTGCAGCGGTGGAGTGAAGTCTGGCCTCATGTATCTGTGGCACAATCCAGGTGTCTCGCTTAAATTAAAGCAAAGACTAAAGCCACTGATGTTCCACTTTGCTGATGCACAGGTAAATGTATACTGACTTACAATAAGCTGCATCACATTTATTTATGTGGATGCATGGTCAGTGGGCCACCTGGGTCCGTTGTCTAATGCTGAGAGGAATGTTTTGTTCATTTTTATGTTAACGTGTTTTATAGGTTGACGAGCTGACAGAGCGGATTGGTTCATGCTCAGGAATAGATAAACTAATAAAGAAGGGAGAGTTCCAGTTTCTGGACTTGGTGTTTGATGTCCTTGTTCCAGAGGTACAACGCAGTCTTCAGCAGTGATTGGTATAAAAGTTACTTTTCGAAAACATTTGACAGTGTATGAAGTAATCCTTAACAGAGTTTGGTGGCAGGAGAATCTCGTCTCTGCTTTTTGCGGATGATGTGGTCCTCCTAGCTTCACCCAGCTCTGACCTTCAGCACTTGCTGGGTAGGTTCGCGGCCGAGTGTGAAGCGGCTGGGATGAGGATCAGCACCTCCAAATCCATGGTTCTCGACCGGAAAAGGGTGGCTTGCCAACTCCGGGTCGGGGGAGAGGTCCTACCTCAAGTGGAGGACTTTAAGTATCTCGGGGTCTTGTTCACGAGTGAAGGTAGGAGGGATCGGGAGATCGACAGGCGGATTGGTTCAGCGTCTGCAGTGATGCGGACGCTGAACCTATCTGTCGTGGTGAAGAGGGAGCTGAGCCAGAAAGTCAGGCTCTCGATTTACCGGTCGATCTACGTCCCAATCCTCACCTATGGTCATGAGCTTTGGGTAATGACCGAAAGAACGAGATCGCGGATACAAGCGGCTAAAATGAGTTTCCTCCGTAGGGTGGCCGGGCTCAGCCTTAGAGATAGGGTGAGGAGCTCGGACATCCGGGAGGGACTCGGAGTAGAACCGCTGCTCCTCTGGATCGAAAGGAGCCAGTTGAAGTGGTTTGGGCATCTGGTCAGGATGCCTCCTGGACGCCTCCCTGGGGAGGTGTTTCAGATATGTCCTGCCGGCAGGAGGCCCCCGGGTCGACCCAGGACACGTTGGAGAGGTTACATCTCCAATCTGGTCCGGGAACGCCTTGGGGTCCTGCGGAGGAGCTGGTGGAGGTGGCCGGGGAGAGGACGGTCTGGAGCTCCCTAGTTGGGATGCTGCCCCCGCGACCCGGACCCAGATAAGCAGAGGAAGACGACAACGACGACGATGAAGTAATCCTGCATGTTTTTCAGGTAACAATAAAAGTGTTGGAAAAATGGGAGGGGATGAATCGATATGCAGCTGAGAAAGCCATGCTTCAGCAAATTCATTTGTACCCAAAATAAAATGGTTGTGAAATTAAGTGTTTCTTTGGTTTTATTGTCTTTCACTCAAAATAAATACCAACTAGCTAAATAGTTATCGGCTGTAGTAGTTAAATTCTGTTGCAATGAGCTGCTGTGATATACAATAGGACAGTGTTATGGATATTTAATAACTAATTTTTGTTGCTGGTGAGAGAGGAGTGTTGCTGAAATGTTTTTCACTGCTTCTGGGAGTCCTGTACTTTAGCAATTGGTGTAGGTCAAAAGTTCATCTTGGGCTTAACAATAAAACTGAATATTTAGCAAGTACTATTTTGTTTGCACATTTTGAAAAGTCTTAGTTTAATGTGTTCTCATTTTTTTCCATATGTTTTTTAATTCACTTTACAGCCTTTTATTGTGTGTGTGTATATATACATATATGTGTGTGTGTGTGTGTATATACAGTATATATATATATATATATATATATATATATATATATATATATGTATGTATGTATGTATGTATGTATGTGCTACTGTCATAAAAATTCCCTGTCTGAAGGACAAAGGGATTTAATATTCAATTTTCATGCAACGCAGGTAACAACGTTACTTAAGTTTGCCAGTCCAGATCTGAAGAGGAAAAAAAATCCGAAATAAAAAGCTTTTTCCGGTAAGTTTTGTTTTTTAAAAAACTACTTCCAGTGAAAGTAATGACTTCTGGTTAAGGTAATGACCCACCGTGTAATTTTTCTCTTAAATATGTACAAATCGAAGAGAAAAACGACACGGTATGGTTTTGAAAAATTCAAACTACTTTTGTGCTTTGTCAATAAAGCGTATTCAAGAAAAAAAAACTACTTCCGGCAAAGGTAATGACACTTGTTTTTCCGGATACGTCATTTCCTGTCACGGCAAAGACGCCAGCTGATGTCTGCAGCCAGATGCTCTTGCAACAGTGGTGATGTCATAGTTTTCAAAAGTCTCTCAGCAGCAGGTGACGCGGAATCCTGTGACGGGCCACGTCTAGCGTCTTCTGACCCTCTGTTTGCTGACTCTGTAGATTTCTCCATGTCCTGCTGCACTGTCTCCTGAGGTTCTGTGTCTTTTCCTTCTGGATGTAGCTGAAGGTCTACTCGATTTCTCCTCAGGGACACTCCACCCTCCATCTGGATCCTGTATGAACGTGGTGCCACCTCCTCCTTCACCTGACCTTGATGTCTCCAGGTCCCTGTAGTAATGTCTCTGAGACGCACCTTGTCTCCTGGCTTCAGGGAAGGCGGGTGTCTCACCTTGCGATCATGCAGCTGTTTTTGTTTCACCTTTTGTCCATCCTTTGCTTCCTTAACTTTATGTGCAGCTTTTGGCGTCAGCAGGTCCTCATTAACTGGTAGGTTGGATCGAATACGTCTCCCCATCAGCATCTGAGCTGGTGACATTCCATTCTGCAACGGTGTGCTTCTATAGATCAGTAGGCTCTTCTGAAAATCCTCTCTGTCCTGAGCTTTTTTCATTAATGTTTTTATTATCTTGACGGAGCTTTCTGCTAAGCCGTTGGACTTTGGATATATGGGGCTTGATGTTGAGTGTTGAAACCCCCATTCCTTAGCAAAGGTGGCAAACTCACAGCTGGAAAACTGGGGCCCATTATCGGAGAAAAGTTCACATGGGACACCATGCCTGGCAAAGACAGTCTTGAGATAAGCGATCGCTGCTTTACTTGAAGTTGTCTGCAGTAGCCCAACTTCTGGATAGTTTGAAAAGTAATCTGTCACCACTATGTAACTTTTCCCATCAAAATCAAACAGGTCTGTTCCTACCTTATAGTAAGGTCTGTGTGGTGCTGGGTGAGCCAGCAGTGGCTCCGCCGGCTGTTTGGGCCTGTAGATGCGGCACTGTTCACATGAAGCTGTGGTCTGGCTGATGTCTTGGTTGATTCTTGGCCAGTACATTACTTCTCTTGCCCTGCGTTTACACTTGACCTCTCCGAGGTGACCTTCGTGGATCTTTTGGAGCATCTGTTTGCGTACTGAGGATGGTATGACATATTTGCTCCCTTTCATCACTATGTCATCCACCACTGTTAGTTCTCCTCTGCAGTTCCAGTAATCCTGGATTTGTGTGCTCTTAAGTTCATTCATGACTTCGTCTGTATTTGTCTCTATTTTTATCTGTTCTGATCTGTCAGCAGATACTGGCAGAGATGTCATCACCATGTCAACATATGCTTGTATGTCCAGACTTTTCTCAAGGTCTTCATGCTCTTCCTTATCCACTGCTCTTGATGATGTATCAGCTGTGTACATATACTTTCCTTTGGTGTAGATCATGTGCACGTCGTATTTCTGTAGCCTGATTAGCATGCGCTGTATCCGTACTGGGCAGTCATTCAGTGGTTTGGACATGATGGACACCAGTGGTTTGTGGTCAGTTTCCACTTCAGAAGTTTGGCCATATACATACTGATGGAAACATACACATGCATACATGCTCGCTAACAGCTCCTTTTCGATTTGAGCGTATCGTGTCTCTGCACTCGTCAAAGCTCTGGATGCGTAGGCTACCGGCAACCACTGTTCCTCATGTTGCTGCAACAGCACTGCACCCAGTCCGTGTTGTGATGCATCTGCTGAGATCCTGGTGCTTCTCTCTGGGTCATAAAACTTCAGCACTGGCTCTTGTGTGAGAATCTCTTTTAACTTTAGAAAACATTGTTCTTGCTCATGGGACCAGATCCATTCATTCTTTTGTTCAAGCAAACTTCTGAGAGGGGCTGACAATGTTGACAGTTGTGGGACAAACTTTGCCAGATAGGTGACCATTCCTAGAAACCTTCTGACGTCGTCTTTGTTGTTTGGTCTTTCCATGTTACAAATTGCTGACGTTTTCTTTGGGTCTGGCTTCACCCCGTTCTCACCGACAACATCTCCCACAAATGTACGTTTTTTCACTCCAAACTCACATTTATCTTTGTTTAGTTTCAGATTGACTTCTCTTGTCTTGTCTAGTACTTGTCTCAGTCTTTGGTCATGTTCTTCTCTAGTGGTTCCCCAAACTATGATGTCATCCATCATGGTCTCCACTCCTGGAATGTGCTCAAAAATCATATGAATGGTCTTGTGGTGGACTTCAGGAGCTGACAGGATGCCGTCTGGCAGACGAAGAAACCTGTATCTGCCCTCAGGTGTGTTGAACGTACAAAGTCTAGAGCTCTCCTCGTCCAGCCTCAGCTGCCAGAAACCTGATGAGGCATCTAGTTTACTGAACCATTTAGCTCCGGCAAACTGTGCCATGATTTCTTCTCTGGTTGGCAGCTTGAAATGTTCTCTTTTAATAGCTTTATTTAAATCCCCTGGATCCAAACATGTTCTGAGAGCACCTGTTTTCTTTTGTAGAACCACCGGTGAGCTGACCCATTCAGTTGGCTCATCTATTTTCTTGATGACCTCTAGTTTTTCCATGCGTGCCAGTTCGTCTTTTAGTTTTTCCCGCAGTGCAAATGGGATTTTCCTACCGGGATGCACAACAGGTGGCACGTTTTTATCCACACATATTTTATGTTGTCCTGGGAGACATCCAAGTCCTTCGAAACAGTCTTTATATTGTTCCATGAGGGAATCCTGATCATTCGGGGCTTCTGGTGTGGAGACTATGTACACCCTTTTAACCAGGTTGAGCTTTACGCATGCACTGAGTCCTAGGACTGGTTGTACACTCTTATCCACGATCAGCAGCTGTGCTCTTATCTGGTGTTTTTTGTATCTGAATGTCGCAACACATCCACCTTTAACAGAAACTCTCTCTCCTGTGTATCCAGTGACTTTTATTTTCACAGGATGCATTTTGCTCTTTTTTGTCATAGCTTTGTAACGTTCCCATGATACCAAGTTAACCTGGGCCCCTGTGTCCAACTTGAATGGAATTATTGCCTCATTGACCTCAACTGGCACCACCCATTCCTCTTTCTCTGATGTAGAGGTGTGTACTTCATCTACAATGAACTCCTCCTCATCCTCTGCTTCTTCATCGACTGTGTGAACTTTCTGTTTTGGAGCTGCTTTACAACATTTGGCATAGTGATTCATTTTCCCACAATTGTTACAGGATTTCCCAATTGCTGGGCACGATTTTGGTCTGTGACTGCTTCTGCATTTACCACATCTGAACTCTGTAGCTTTCCCTTTTTGGTACTTTTGTTTGGTAAATGTTTTCTTTATTACTCCATCTTTAGTTAGAGCATGCACTGACGTCTCACCTCTCCGGAGCTCCTTTGCTTGTGCTCGTGTGGTTTCCGCTGCTCTGCACATGCTGACACACTTATCCAGTGTAAGTCCAGTCTCTCTCAGCAGCCTCTCTCTCAGTGCATTATCCACAGTTCCACAGACAATCCTGTCTCTTACTAGCGAGTCTCTCAAAGTCCCAAATTCACACGATTTGCTTAATGTGTGAAGCTCTGCTAAATATTGATCAAAAGGTATCCCCTGCTTCTGATCATGGGTAAAAAAAATTTGTACCTCTCATAGGTCACATCCTGTTTAGGTACGAAGTACTCTTCAAATGTATTCATCACGTCAGCCAAAGTCAAATCAGCCTCATCCAGCTGAAAGCTATTATATATATCCAATGCATCTTCCCCTATAACATGCAAAAGGATGTGAGCTTTCAGTTTTTCATCATCTCCACCTGCTCCGCTTGCAGTCAAATATATATTAAACCTTTGCTTAAAGCGCTTCCAGTTTTCAGCAAGGTTACCAGTCACTTGCATGGATGAGGGCAGGCTTAGCTTATCCATGGCAGCACGTCGGGGTATCTCAATCACTGCAGCTCTTTACTGGTGTCTATCTGCTCTCACAGGCACCGATTCCTCTTCTGTTTGCTCTAAGTGACCACACGCGATCTGCTTCACTTTTACCGTCGCTCACGGGCGTCACACAATACAGCACAGGTCTTTAGCATGTAGCTCTGTAGCACGCCATTACTCACGCTTTCCATAGACTCTCCCTCTACATCCGTCTTTCGCGGCTCCCCCGTGGCAAATCTGTCCTTCGTCTTGCTCACGGCCACTTCTGACACCATGTGTTGTCTTGCTTAATCTTATAATAAGCAAACGAGGTGTGAAAACTCCTTTTCCAGATCTTTATTTAGCACTAGCCACCACTACTGTATCATCCATGCAGTTTCCCTTCCCTCCAATAATCTCCTCTCCAGCCTTCTGGGTAATTGAGTTTTTCCTGAACTATCTCATAACATCACACTAGGGGGTGCTAAAAGCAAGGAAAACTGCTTAGTATCCCTTTAACAAACACACATGGTACCAACCAACACAAATGTGTCATCACATACATGTTAGGTAAGAGCTTCATCCTCCGCCCTACAAAACATCACATCCTGAAGTGTAAGAGTCAACGTCTGGACCCTAAACTCTACATATTTCCACATGTTTATGTATGAAAAGGACTGTGCATTAGAGTCACTCTCTTGTTGAAGACAATCAGAAGATTTGTAGCTAAGAGTTTTAGCATGACTCTGGTGCTTCGTAGCTCTTTTAATTCAATTCAATTCAATTCAAGTTTATTTATATGGCGCCAAATCACGACAAGAGTCGTCTCAAGGCACTTCACATAATAAACATTCCAATTCACAGTTCATTAAGCCAATCAGAAATAATGTTTCCTATATAAGGAACCCAGCAAATTGGATCAAGTCACTGACTAGTGTCAGTGACTATACAGCAATCCTCATACTAAGCAAGCATGCAGCGACAGTGGAGAGGAAAACTCCCTTTTAACAGGAAGAAACTTCCAGAGAATCCTGGCTCAGTATAAGCAGCCATCCTCCACGACTCACTGGGGATCGGGAAGACAGAGCAGGCACACACACACACACACACACACACACACACACACACACACACACACACACACACACACACACACACACACACACACACACACACACACACACACACACACACACACACACACACACACACACACACACACACACACACACACACACACACACACACACACACACACACACACACACACACACACACACACACACACACACACACACACACACACACACACACACACACACACAAGTAATGTGTCTATAGTTATATTGTGATGTCTTAGTAAATATTGTATTTGGTGAAAGATAAACTTTATTGTATTTATCCTAGTGGATCTATAATTAAACGGATAAACTAGTATTAGCACATCAAAAGTCAATGAAAACAAAAAGTTATTATCAGGAGAGAGAGAATGTATTTGTGGTTAGCAGCAGTGTGCTAGTCGATGGCCCCCTCCATGAGGCCACCACAGCTCAGCAGAACGTCATCGCAGCTTCTTCTGGGGAGAAAAACACTCACAGAGAAAATAAAGTTAACAGCTGAAATTGCACAAAATAGTACAGTTAAAGAGCAGACTGTAGAAGAAAGCAGTAGAGTGTGAAAAGTGGTCAGTGTGTCCTCCAGCAGTCTAAGCCTATAGCAGCATAACTACAGAGTTAACTGGATAACCTATCCTATTTAGATGTAGGCATGTTGGAGGCAGGGCAAGGGAGAGCCGTCTTTACCGACTGTACACTCCACCTCCCTGTAATCCCCCACTTGTCCAGATTTAGGCTAACATCAGATTTTAACTATAAGCCCTATCAAATAAAAATGTTTTAAGCCTATTCTTAAAAGTAGACAAAGTGTCAGCCTCACGGACTAAAGCTGGGAGCTGGTTCCACAGGAGAGGAGCCTGATAACTAAAAGATCTGCCTCCCATCCTAAGTTTAGATATTCTTGGAACCACCAGTAGACCTGCAGTCTGAGAGCGAAGTGCTCGGTTAGGAACATATGGAACAATCAGATTACTGATGTATGATGGAGCTTGATTATTAAGAGCTTTATATGTGAGAAGAAGGATCTTAAAATCTATTCTGAATTTAACAGGTAGCCAATGTAGGGAAGCTAAGACAGGAGAGATATGATCTCTCTTTTTAATTCTCATCAGAACTCTAGCTGCAGCATTTTGGACAAGCTGAAGACTTTTAACTACATTCTGTGGACTTCCTGAGAGTAATGAATTACAGTAATCCAGTCTTGATGTAATAAATGCATGAACTAGTTTTTCAGCATCACTCCTGGAAAGTATGCTTCTAATCTTAGCAATATTCCGAAGGTGGAAAAAGGAAATCCGACAAACTTGTGAAACCTGGGATTTGAATGACATGTCCTGGTCAAAGATAACACCAAGGTTCCTTGCTTTGTTCTCGGAGATTAATGTAATGCCATTAAGGTCAGGTGATTGGCTAAGCAATTTCCTTTTCTGGATTTCTGGTCCAAAGATGAGAACTTCCGTCTTGTCTTGATTTAAAAGCAAGAAGTTAAGAGTCATCCAATTTTTTATGTCCTCAAGACAAGCCTGTAATCTACCCAACCGATTAGGTTCATCAGGGTTAATGGATAAATATAACTGAGTATCGTCAGCATAACAGTGGAAGTTTATCCCATGCTGTCTAATGATTTTACCAATTGGGAGCATATATATAGTAAAAAGAATTGGTCCAAGCACTGAACCCTGTGGTACTCCGCAAGTAACCCTGGAGTATGAAGAAGATTTGTCATGTACATTTACAAAATGAAATCTGTCAGACAGGTAGGATTTAAACCAGCCCAGTGCTGCTCCTTTGATCCCTACAACATGTTCAAGTCTTTCTAAAAGAACATTGTGATCAACTGTGTCAAAGGCAGCACTGAGATCTAACAAGACTAGAACAGACACAAGATTCTTATCTGAGGCCATAAGAATATCATTTGTAACTCTCACTAATGCAGTTTCAGTGCTGTGATACTCTCTAAAACCAGACTGAAATTCCTCAAACAGAGCATTAGTGTTTAAATGCTCACATACTTGGATGGCCACTATTTTCTCCAGGACTTTGGATAAAAATGGAAGGTTAGCTATTGGTCTGTAATTCATTGGGTCATCTGGATCCAGAGAAGGCTTCTTAAGTGAAGGTTTGATTACAGCAACCTTAAAATCTTGTGGTACATACCCATTTACTAAGGATAGACTGATTATATCTAGAATGGGGGCAGTAACCAAAGGAAATGCATCTAAATAATTTGGTTGGGATTGGATCCAAAATGCAAGTTGAAGGTTTAGATGAAGCTAATATTTTTGATAACTCTAAAAGCTCAACTGGATCAAAACGGTTCAAACACAGATGAGGTTCTAGAGTCACCTCTGAAGCTGCCTCACTTACTGAGGAAGAAGAAATCGCATTAGGGAGGATGCTAAAGATTTTGTTTCTAATAGAATTAATTTTACTGGTAAAAAATCCCATGAAGTCATTGCTGCTGAGGGCTAAGGGAATAGATGGCTCAGAGCTACGATTCTGTGTAAGTTTAGCAACTGTACTGAAAAGAAATTTAGGATTATGCTTATTCTCCTCAATTAATGCTGAAAAATAAGCAGTTCTAGTTTGTTGAAGCTTATTTTTATAAAGCACAAGACTATTTTTCCAGGACAGGTAGGCCTCCTCATGGTGCGTAGAGCGCCATGTTCTCTCCAATTTCCTAGAGTTTTGTTTTAAGGCTCGTAGATGAGAGTTAAACCAGGGAGCCAACTTCCTGTCCCTAATTACCTTCTTTTTTAAAGGGGCAACATCATCTAATGCCACACGTAAAGAGGAATTAACATGATGAACTACGGCATCAATTTGTGAGGGGCTAGAACTGAAAATATTGCCCTCTGCTACATGCCTCTGAGATGCTGAGGACAGTAAAGATGGAACAGTTGATTTAAAAGACGCAACTGCGTTGTCAGATAGAGACCGACTATAATGAAATTTACTTTCATGTCTCGAGAACTCAGTTATAAAAAACTCAAAGGTTATCAGAAAGTGGTCCGAGAGGACTGGATTATGTGGAAAGATTGTTATTTCCTCACACTCAATGCCAAAAGTCAGAACAAGGTCCAATGTATGATGGCAGGAGTGGGTGGAGCTATGTATTCTTTGAGTAAATCCAATTGAATCTAAGATATTACTAAAGGCTACATTGAGGCAATCATTTTCGATGTCCACATGAATGTTGAATGTTTTAGATCAGTGTCTTTGTGTTTGACGCTCTGAGGTTTGAGAGTGAGGCTACTCTCCTGCATCCCTGTCGGCTTGATGCTAGTAGATTAAAGGAGTAGATGTCAGGTTGTTCCTACCTATAACCAAGGCCGGATTAACCATATGGGCAACTGGGCAATTGCTCAGGGGCCCACGAACTCTAACGAGCCCAGGGCAGCAAGGGCACGAGGGTGACCATACGTCCACTTTTCACTCCGTCGGGGGGGAGTTGTATTGATGAAAATGTCCGGTTTTTCATCCAGGAGCAGGGATGGAATTATGGGGGAGCTGGATATCCTACACATGCAGGGGAGCCGGAAATAGTTTTCTACCTATATTACATCATTCATGGACTCTTTTGAGCAGAGAGCAGCAGAGCGATGATCGTTGGTGCAGCGCTCCAGGCTGCTGCGTCCAGCGCACGGTCCATTCTCAAAGTGGCACAACCAAAAAACTATAATTAACACACGGTCGTTCATGTCCGCACATGTTCTCTACTTTCTGTCTTATTTGTGCCTGAAGCGCTCTGCTACTGCGGAGCTCATCAACTGGGCTGTGGTGATTTCACCTCACTGACGCAGCATCGAAACGCGCTCTCCGCTTTGCGGTCAGGAGATCCCTTTGATCTGCTCAGAAGTAACTGATGAGGTGAAAAAGTAAGAATCCAGGCAGCAGATTTTCTGGAGAGTTTAGAGGAGATGCAGGAAGATGAGAGACAGACAGGACAGGAAAATAGTTAAATAAAAACAAGAAAACAAAGTAAAATGTAGGTAGATTTATCTCCACTACACGTTTTTACCTGTATAAAATAATAAGTTATACACATGTCATATTTATACATCTGATACAATTCAGATCACCTTCAAAACTCAGTCACACACCCAGGGCCGTTTCAAGACATTATGGGGGCCGAGGCAAAATCCCCCCCCCACCACCCCCCCACCACCACCACCACCAACAACAACCTCCTCGCTCCTCCATCATGGCCTCTCTATTGACCTCCTGGGAGGAAGGGAGGTGGAGGAGGAAGAGGAGGAGGGGAGGAGAGAGAGGGAAGCAGAACACGAGGAAGAGAGGAAGCCTTCAAGGAGGGAAGGAGGAGATGGTGGGTCACGTGGAGGAAGGGGAGAAAGAGGGAGAGATTCAGAATCGTTTGGAGGAGACCAGCGCCTCCTTGGCTGCAGCTCTGCAGGCTGTAGAGCACAAAATAAAAGAGGAGGACAAGCCAAATGAGTGAGTATTTACAAAGTAAAATTAACTTAAACAAGTTACTTGATCTAAGACAAACTAGTACAAAGTAGCTTACTGAACTACGTTTTCTGAGATGTGTATATATTTAAAGAGCAAGTCACCCCCTACCAGAGTCTACCTCCACTCCCATTTCCTATTTGAAAAATGTGCCACAAGGAGGCATGGCCTGGCAGACCGAGAGAGAGGAGCCACTGACAAACTGATACCAGCTAACATCACAGGGTACTTCTTAGCCAATGGCGATGGCTGATTTAAATTGTAGTGCAGAGTATTTACATGAAGAGGGCGCAACACTGATAGTTTTAGGCAGAATATTTAAATTTGAACCGATGTACGAAAGTGTCAAATTACAGACTTCAAGTGTCTACAGCATGATTATACACTCATTTATATAGTTTTTCAGCAAAAAAAAAAGTTGATTTAGGGGTGACTTGCTCTTTAAAGGTGCACCATGTAAGAATATGGTAAAACATTTACAGTGAGAAAATCCCAAAAGAGACATTATCATTTTGGAAGAAAGGTTATACTGAAACATATTTCATATCCAGCTGGCTATGGGGTGTAGGGTTTGGTAAATTGAGTGCTTTAAGAGCTCAATATATATTACCTCTACTTATGACCAATAAGCTGTAATACTCTATATACATATAGAATACAGTAATCCCTCGTTTATCGCGGTAGATGCGTTCCAGACCTGGCCGCGATAAGTGAAAATCCGCTAAGTAGGGACTCCCAGCATGCCCCTCGCGGGGATTCCCTCCACGTCGCACCTACGTCACAAACCGCGGCTATAAACGGAAGTCGCGTTTCCAGCTCTCCACTCAGTCATCGTTTCTTCAGATTCATGATCAGAATTTCCAACCTACCGATCCATCCAACGAACTATCAGCTCATAGTAAGTTATCTTACTTACTTCTGGAAAGCCCGGCATTTCCGTGTCACTTCGTTGACGCTCGAACGCTCGGGGGTTTCCTAAATCAGCCGGCGTTTCAACGACGCTATCACTTCCGCGTCTGTGAAACCACGCTCCCTACAAGCTCAACTCCCGAATCCAGCTGACCTGTCTGACATACAGTACTATATTGAATTATCGTATGATCACATTCTGTTTTTGTGGGTAAAACTCAAGAAAAAAAATTTTTTTACTTGGTTTTTTAGTTTTATTACAAAAAGTTCATTTTATGATGAAATTGATGAAAAAAAAACAAGAATTTCTTGATATTTCGCATAGAAAAATACCGCGAACCTGCAAATTCCCCCTGAAAAATGCTCCAAAGAAAAAATCCGCGAAGCAGCGAATCCGTGATGAACGAACCGCGAAGTAGCGAGGGATTAGCCTAGTGAACCAGACCAAATTCTTGCTTTGCAAAGTTTGGTCTAGGCACGCTCCATTGGAACCTCCGCAGCTCCTACCAGGACTCTGGCTGGCCAATCACAGCTCTCTAGAGGGGTTTCAAACACATAAAGAGCTGTGATTGGTCCATAATGGTGGGCCAATCATAGTGCTCTATCTGCTTAGTGAACAAATCACAGAGCTTATCCGCTTTGTGGGCCAGTCAGGGCACTCTATATGCCTGGTGGGTGGGATGATGCAACAGAGTGAAACAAGAGTATGTCACATTCATTGTCCAGTGGAATGTGGAGATCATTTGAAAGACAACGGTAGAACCCGCCCCACAACCGAGAGCCGTCAATGGAGCGTTGCCAGACTAAATAATACATTTATTTAGTCTGGCTTGCCAGGCTAGCGAGGGATTACTGTACACATGAAGTCAGGCTAGAGAGTAGAATCAAATAGAATCCGTCCGGGTAAATAAAACACATCACATTATCTTTCTGTTTTCTGAAATAAACAAGTCTAATATGAAATTTCAGAAATTAGGTCTGGATGGGGGCAAAAATGTAGAAAATCATCTTTACTTCCAGGTTTCCCCCTTTACCATTACCTAAAACACAAAAACTCAAATGAAGAAAATAGTCATTGTCCAGATGGTCTAATCGATTTTTACTTTCTTTATGAAGCTCCATGGCAGCCATGACACCTAATAAAAACATGATTTCTCATGTACTTTACTGGTCTTTGTAAAACGCCATTCTCCTATAAAATGAAAACAATTATAAAACATGAGATTTTTTAAAGTATAAACAATAAAAAAAATCATGATTTACATGATTATTTGGGATTTATCATTACTTTTTGTTGATCTTTACAATTAGTCGACTGTATTGTGTGTGTGTGTGTGTGTGTGTGTGTGTGTGTGTGTGTGTGTGTGTGTGTGTGTGTGTGTGTGTGTGTGTGTGTGTGTGTGTGTGTAAATAGTGAATGTTACCCATAAACTGAATCTTAAAGCTGCTTTCCATCAGTGGAGGAACTCACCTCCACACTTGACTCGTTGATTCTGTCAGCATGTTGATCGAAGCCTCAGTAAAAGCTAATTATTCCATTTTTCTTTTTCAAATTTTTCCAGCCAAAAAGGAACCGTCTCTATCCTGGATGACATCGGCAGCGTGTCTGACGACTTGGCAGACCAACTGGATGCAATGCTCGACTGATCTCCAGCCCCCCTCCCCCTGACCCATCCCTCATGACACGTAGGTGTGTGAGAAGGCGGCGCTCCCAAGACTAAATGCTGCCTCTTTGGGGAGCTCGTGTTTGAGCGTCTGGCCCTCCCATGTTAAGTGCTTCCTGAGTAGCCTTGAAGAGGGAGTCCTCTTTATCTGGTGCAGTAGCTCTGGCTCCTTCTCCTGATGCGAGGAAGCTGCTCCCACACGACCTCTGACCTCTGCAGCCCAGCGCGTTACCTCCACACAGCCTCAGACTGCTGCGTGGACCGAGAAGCACAATAATTCATCTCTACACAAAAAAGGCTGGCTTAGACAAACTTTCAGGTGCAGTCTTACGAAGAAACTAAGCACACTAATTGTCTCAAAGCATTGGCGGTTCTAGGGGCGGGGCCACAGGGGCACTGGCCCCTGCTGAAATATGATTGGCCCCTGTAGTGCCCCTGTCCTGTCACTCATCTGTCCTTTGTGCGGTGATGAGATTATAGGTGGATGCAATTCCGAGTCCAAACACTAGTGGCCGTGTGGCGCTAAGGAGCAAAATAGTGTGTGAAATCCAACAGAAGAAGATTTGAAAGATTCCAAGAAGGGAGAATTTTTCAACCGACATCGGATCTGATGAGAGTCCACGTTATGAGGAGTTTGTTGGTAAGTCACGAATCACTGTTTACTCACAGTTGCCATGTAAGTCAAGTCTGACAATAAGTCCAATGGAAAGCAATGCCGACATTAGTTAAAGGTAATGTTAAAAAGGGCTTGTGAAAAAACGTTAGCCCTTGCTAATCCATGTACTTCTTTTGTAATCTGCATTTCGTGTGTTAATAGTTGGCACTGTCTGATAGAGAACATGAAAAGAAAGGGTCAGATACAGGCGGGAATTCTGCAGTTTTTTCCCAAGAGAGTGAGTGTGTCAGCTGGTGAAAACGAGCATGGAGAAATCAGAGAGAGAGCCGCAGGAGGCTGTAGACCAGAGGCTGGAACAGGGCAAGGGACCTCCATTCCCCCTTTATCAGGTCAGAAAGAATATAATCTTTATTGTGCAACAGTCATGTCAGATAAACACGAGAGACAGCCTCTTGTAGGACATACCATGCTGGGAAATCAGCGTACATGTAATATAAACGCGCCGTGGCGGCATGGTGTTGCGGGAATTTTGTGGCATTCGTGCTGCCACGGTTGATACTAATATCACCGCAACGCCGGACTTGTGAATGCATATTACAACTTGGCGCAACAGAAGGGGGTATCATGATCACGTGGGCAGTTACTGCCGAGCTCCGGCCGGCAACTATATTGAAAATGAAAGTAAACATGGGCTGTAAGTTTGGCTTTTCTAAACAGAATCAGCTGAGATGATGGCCGGGGAGCCTCTCCGTAAGAGTTGAAGCTCAGATCACCAGAGACTGCACGGGGACAGACACCTTCTGGAGCGGCTTGTTAAAAAAAGTTTAATGAGCGTGGCTTTGATCGCAATAAAAAGCAAGTTATGTCCAAGATAAACTGAAGTCCGTGGCAGCGCAGAGACCGCCCCCAAGCTCCCTTTTCACCGCCATCGCATAATCTTTTGTAAAAAGATCATGATTGCACCACATTATCCAGCAGGACGGACTGACCACTTATAAACGACCTAATGCTGCCCAGTGTGTTCTGCTTATAATTGAGGATAACCTTTTCCCATTTTATCTTGGAGCTGATCCAGTTAATGTGGAGTCATTTTCTTGCACAGAAAATTTGCATTGAGCTTTTTATATTTATCAGTAATAATTGGGTCAGTTATTCCAAGCACCAAAAATAAAGGATTATTGTTTAAATTGATAGAAGTTGTTAATCGTGACAAATCATTAGTGGCAAAGTTGCTTCCCTTTAGTAAATGATTTTACGTTTCTCAAAGCATCTTTCCATTCATCATCAGTAATGTTGCAGTTAAGTTTCCTTTCCCACAATTCCTTCAAGGTTTCCCTAAATTGTGACATTTTGATGTATTGTAAAATGTGTGGGAAAAGTCCTTGTTTGAAACACTGAATTTTCTAATTGGTTGATTAAGTAAGGTCAAGGTTAAGTTTTCCAAAGAGATTTTGTGTTTTGGATATTCCTTTGTTAGTCCAACTTTTCCTGCCATTATTCTAGGTAAAAATAAAAAATCACCATTATCTCAAATTTGTTAAATGATGTTATCTTGTACTAATGGCACATATGTTTACTGAATTCTTCCGCTTCATGGTGATGTGATTTACTATAACATTAACATAATGGATTTAAATTGTATTGGTTTCTTTGTCTACATCTACCACATCTCATCTTTATAGTCCAATCTTTGAAGTCTTCAATTTCAAATAAATAAAAATGTGGTCTCATAGAAAACAAAGTTTTGGCTGGATTTAGCTGGAGTTTGACATATATTTGTATTTTAGCTGCAAACTGGGACAAGACTCTCTCCAATTCAGACAACCAGAGTGAAGTTAATGACTCAACCTTCCATCCTGCTGGGCCACCAGAGTCACCAATCAATACTAATCCTGCAGGATCAAATGGTAAACATTGATCTTTGAAAGTAATAAATGCTTGTGTATGTATTTGGCTTATGTTAGATAATTTCTCATTTGCTGTTTTCAGACATCTTCCAGTGTGATGCACAGAATCCTGCGCAGACATCAGAACGGTGTTCTGTTCCAGTAGGACCTGGTGGTGTGCTTCTCATTTTGTAAAGGCTCTTTAAATTTAATTGAATTTTGCAGTCAGTCACTTGCAGATTCTGAATGCCATGAATGTTAAAGGTTGAGAGATATAAGCAACTGACTCAGACTTATTTAATTGACTTCCCACCAGACATTTCCCAGTCAAGAGCAGAGGGTCCTGTGATATTCTTCTGGTGTTTTTTTCCACACACAAACATATTTTAACCTGATATTTGTGGCTTTGCAAAATAAATTGAATGCTAAAATTTCTCAAATGCTGTGTGTGGTTGTATTTTGTCAATGTACAGTAAAAATTGATGTACAATTGCATTGATGTTTTTCAACATGGTGTTGGGGTAAACTGTATCTACCATACAAAACTGGGAATAGTATGCAAGTATGTTGGACTGTTCGTGGCCCCTCTATAAATATTGTGGCCCCTTGATGGCCCCACCCTCAGAAAAATCCTAGATCCGCCACTGTCTCAAAGGCAAGTAGACGGAGAGATGAACAAACACGACACGCTCTGATGAGGATTTTTAAAAGCACACTGAAACACGGACCGCTCTCTTTGCGTCCGTCTCTCCTCTAAAATATCAAAAGGATTCATTTTTCCAGATGCGTCGTAGCCTCCGTTTCTCCTCTGTACGAGTGGAGGCCAGTGGTTCGCTGGACCTCCTGACCCGCGTGTCGTCTCTTCTCACGTTGTTGTTGGTGCTCTTGCTGTTATTGTTGGTGTTGTTGTTTCGAGCGTGTGCGTAGTCCCTGCTTTTTGCTCATGCCAGTGTCCTCCTGCTCGTACAGCACGTAGTTACGCTAAGGATCAGACCAGCTATGAATTCTTAAGACACTTGCACATAAATCAGATCGCCGGTGTTCATCTCTACACATGAAGGTTTTATGCTTGATAATAATAAGAGACCAACACTGACAAAAAGCACACGTGAGGCACAACCAGTGATTTCAAAAATATATTTCTTTACATTTCAAGGCTTTATAGCCCATCCAATCAACATTCACACATAGGTTTCAAACAGGCGCTCCTAAAGCGCCCTCTAGTGTTTGCTTAGTAAAATTGCCTTTAATCAACTTAACCTCCTTCTCGTCTTCCTCTTTTATCACCATTATTTCTAAATCTGGTGTTTATTCTGCAAATCTCTGTACCTTCGTATTTATCTATTCCTTTTGTTTAACAGCTTCATGATTTCTTTGACCACGGCCCTTTGTGTCAGTGATGTCCGAGTGATTTAACCCTAAAAGTCAACCCCCAAATGTCTGCAACCTTCTGTAACTACTGCAAAGCCTTGTATGAGCTAATATAAATACATAAAATAACAAAGAAATCTGGTAAGCTGTAATAAGCTGGCTTCACTCCTCCCGACGCCCCCAGTTTTCAGTGTTTTCCCTTCATATGAGCCAAGACGGTGGATCAGCCACCAGTTTTCATCCTAGTGAAAAGTCCACTTGTATTTTTATGCTCTTTAAAACAAAGATATTTGAAAGACAGATAGTTCTATGTGAATAATAATAACTATGATGATAATCAAGAGGAATCTAGATGTTGAGCTGAAATGATCTGAGCCTGTACATTTCTGTTGGAGTTCTGGACGTGTTGTGACGGCTGCTGTTCCACGGTCAGGTTCAGGTTGCGTTTCTGCTGTGACAATACACTCCTGTACAGTTGTGATCAGAATAAATGTATAAATTAAACCTCGCTTTGCCTTTTTAATGCTTCGTGTACGGCAATGTGCATTTTGTCTTGGGGCTGACTGGAGAACTGTAAACTAGGACTTCCTGCTACAAAAGCACATGTTAAAGGGGACGTGTTACGACTACATTCTTAAAGTTAGAACAATTTTGTGGTCTATACAAAACAGGAAGATGAAGATTTTTTCACAAAACCCCTTTAAATTAAGCAATCTCACCAGCTCTTTTTGACATTTTCAGCACATTTAAGGATACACGCTTGCTGGATCACAGGAGGCTGGGTTTCCAGGTTGCTGGAGGACTGGAGGAGCTGAGCACGGAATAGGGAGCAGGATCCGGTAAGGTGAGGTCAGTATGGAGTGGACAGCCAGGGAGCGGCTGGGAGACAGCGGGACTGGTCCGGTAGGTTGCAGCACGGTGTGAAAGGTGGTGGTGGAAATGTAGAGAAGAGGCAGCTTACAAAAATCAGGCAAGCTTGGAAAAACACACAGGAACTAGCAATCTGGCTAGAAGTACGACTTGGACGATATCTATTCGGATTACTCGGTAATCAGGCTCGGGAGCGGCAGATACCAAAGTTGAGTTAATCATCCAGCGAATAAAGATGTCTCCCAGCAGCTTATATGTCCCTGGCCAACTGATGAGCAGATGGGCTGCAGCTGGTCCACTCCTTGACACGCCCACCTGCAGGAGAAGCTCAGAGAAGGTTTAGCAGAGAGAGGAGGACTCACCCCAGACCACGACACCAAGATAACTTAAAGTGATACTTTACAACTTTTTCGTGTTTTGAACTCATTTTCTTGAGCCAGTATGTGCCAAATGACCCTTTACATGGTGAATGAAACGTCACTCAGACCCTCACCGCTCTGTGGCCAGAATACCACACTTGCAACTTCAGATTGCCGGTCAGGTCTGTTGGAGTTAGTAGAGCTGATATGCCTGGTTCTGCAGCCTTAAGGTGCTTTTCCAGGAACTCTACTCAGGGCAACTCGGATCGATGCAGTTCAGCCCGACCACGGTTTCCAAGGGCACGCTTTGGTATTTTCCCTCTATTTTCTCCCCTATTTTTAGTCCCTGCTCCATTGAGGTACCTGGCAAGGCTGAGTTGGGCCGGTATCGTGATTCTGGCCGCTGATTGGCTAGGGGCTTCATGGAGCTGGCGTGGGAACAAACCTGCTTTCAGATGGGCTGACTCAAACCACGCTGTACAGAGCTGTTTTAGGCTGAGTAGTGCTCCTGGAAACCACCCTCAGTGTCTACATGAGTGATTCATCACTAAATTGAACAAATCAGCAGCAGCAGCTCCTAGATGTTAGTACTGGGTATGGAATGGAATATGATTTAAAATATAACTCCAGCAAAAGTGTTGTTCTAACCTACAGAACCACCCAGGATAAAAGGCTTAATTTTCCTGTGTTTAAGTTGTCCAGCAACAGTCTGGCAGTCTGTGAGAAGATAAAATATCTTGGACACTTTATCACAGCCGATATGAGCGACCATGATGATATTTACAGGCAGTGCTGCAAGCTATATGTGCAAGCAGACACCATTGCACGGACATCCAGCTGTTGTTCCACACCTGTTAAAGTGGCATTATTTAAAGCATACTGCACATCTGTGGTCATTCTATAACAAGTCTAGCTTGCACAGGTTACAAGTGGCATACAATGATGCAACGAGAATCCTCCTCAAAATTCCCAGGGGAGGCAGTGCTAGTCAAACGTGTGTTTCTGTGAGCGTGTGCACATTTAAGGCACTTCTAAGAAATTTCATGTTCAAGTTTATGAGACGGCTGGAAGAGTCTTCCAATAGTATTATAGCTGCACTCTCAAATCCCACTGTGAGCTGCTCTCGTTATATGTCTAGGCTGAGAATGCACTGGTTAAAATGTTTGGGTGGATTTATCTCAACTGGTTCGTTTTGTTGTCCCTTACCTCCACTGCAGTTATATCCTGTGATTTTATACAGGCTTTTATTGGTATTAATGTTAATTGGTATCCTTTCTTTTCTTGTGTTTTTCTTTTAAAAAGGACTTTAAGTCTGGCAATAAACATATTATAAATCAGCTGCGTTCCTGATTTAAAACATGCAGGAAATGTGCTGAAAGCAGACTGCAGCTCCAGGTATGTCAGCTCAATATTTGTTTGAGTCCCAACAGAGCCAACTGCCAGTCTGGAGTTGAAAGTAGAACATTCTGGCCAAAGGGGTGCGATGTGAGCTGGGTGGCTGTTCATTAACCCTCTAAAACAGGAGTATTCGATTCCGGTCCTGGAGGGCCGGTATCCAGCATGTTTTAGTGGTTTCTCTGCTCCAATATGCTTGATTCAGTGGTTTAATCACCTGTGCAGCAGTTCAGGCTCTGCAGAAGCTTAACCCCGTAAATTTCCAGCGCAATGGGGTTTTGTCCCTCGGGCGGGACGCTGGAATGCTGAGGAGTTAATCACCTGCTGGTTGAAATCAGGTGTGTCGAAACGGAGTTAAAACTAAAACGTGCTTGATACCGGCCCTCCAGGCTGGGAACTTCATACCACTGCTGTTAACGGTCATTTTAGCACACACTGGCTCAAGAAAATTTTAAAATATGAAAACATTTCATATCATGGCTTTAAAATGTGTGTAGGACTCCGACATAGGGTTCAGATGTTTTGCTGCAACTGTAAACACAATTTTCTGTAATTATTGAATATGAAGTTGATTAAAATACAGCTAAACACGACGTACTCGCGGCATGAGCTGCCCTGTAAGACATCTTTTTAGTGACGTATGACAAACAGCTCTTCACTGTTTAGAGGAATTTAGATTTTTATGATGATTTATGACAAAATTCCTTAAACTGAATAACTGAACCTAGTTTATCTTTATGTAGATGGTAAAGTGTAGTGAAACAGCGTTAGTCTCAGTCGGCATAAGCAGCAGGGCCCTGCAGGGAATCGAACCCCGTCTCATTACTGAGAGTTCCGTTACCAGAGCCTTTTGCTTTGGGCGACCGGGACGGTAAAGCAAAACCTGCATCAACACAGCATTTAATGTTGGAACATAAATTCTGTCTTGAAGCAGGAAAAAAGAAACCGTCCGACTAAAAAATAATTTCCAATTAAATTCATTTTAGTATTTTATAAACGTTTTACAGATTTAGAGCCTCCTTTGACTTTTACGCTTTTCGTTAACTTCTCGTTCTTTTACGATGTTTATCCGTTCTTTAGCCGCGGTCAAACGCATCGTAATTTTGTTCTGCGGTGAATCTTAAAGTTATGTTGAATGTAAATAATCTGAGTCTTTATTGCTTTAACTCATTCACTGCCATTGACCACTAAAGTCGTCATTTGCATTTTTACTGTTTGAGCATCGCAACGAGCCCCCGCGCTGAGAGAACAAACATCTCAGCCCTGAAGCTGATCTTCATCCGCATACGTCACACGTCACATGCTCAGGAAGCAACACATCCATGTGTTTGGAGATCATTTTGGGCCGTTCCTGTAAAAAAGTGAGGCGCGAACCGGAAAAGCGTCTGCCGATCACAATTCGACAACGGATTATGAAAGAACGGATAATGCTCGAAACACGCGGCTTCTTCCTGATGTAAGAGGTGAGTCTCCTCTTTGTTTTGGTTGTTTTGGCGTCGACATCATGCTAGCGCGCAACGTTCTGTGACTCTTAAAAAGAACAGTAAAAACGGTGAGAAACGCTGGCAGCGAAGGCCGTTAGTGATCAGGAAACGGCTGGCAGTGAATGAGTTAATCATTGACATGTTTAGACTATATTTTATTAGCCTTTAATATTTTAGTATTTATTGTTTAACTTTTGTAAAGAGCTATTTTTAAACGCGTGCACATTTAAACACTAAAACCTTTGTTTGCTCCGTCTGTGTCAGAGCTCTGCTGTTCAGCTCCTTCCTGGTTCCTGCAGGACCACAAAGCCCAGAGAAGCTCAGTCCAGCAGGACGTGAGGACACAAACAGACACGGAGAGCTCCTCCTAAACCTGGAATCAAACGCTTCTACACATTATTTAGAACAGTTTCTTGTGACAGAACAGTTAGTGAAACAGAAAGGACATGAAGATGATGTTATCGTTCTTGTCTTTCATACGGATCAAAGATCACCATCAGCTTATGCTCATGTCACCAAGTAAACGTCCCATTCCTCACTAAGACCTGCTCTATCTGCTCTACCAGATTATCAGAAGCATCACTGTAGTTGTAGTTTTGCCTCCATCTTCCTGCCCTCCTTGGTCTCTTGTTTATCTTCTACCACCTCTCACCATCCATCTCAGGTGGGATCTTGTTTGCTCCGATGGCCTCTTGTGTTCCAGGCTTACATCTTTTAGTGAACGTTAGAATATCATATACTGATATATATGCATGTGTGTGTGTGTGTGTGGTGTGTGTGTGTGTGTGTGTGTGTGTGTGTGTGTGTGTATGATGCTAAACCAGACTGCCTGCTCCATCAGATGAAAGGAAATCCTCTCAGGACCCAAATAAAATAGAAGATTTAGCAACCAGACACAGAAGCCCAGGTGAAACGTCCACATCAGCATCTCCAGTTCTACCAGCTCTAAAAACACACTTCTTAAATAATAAAACCTTAAACTCAGCCAACGGATGAAGACGTCCTGGTGCCAGACGCTACCTAAGACATCACCAGTTCAGCTGACTTGATAAAACACTTGGTGACTAAAACAAACATCTGGTGACCTGGTAAAAAAAACAGTCCTGGTGCAACAAGCTACCTGAGACAAACGTTTCCAGTCGACCAGTTCAAGAAAGAAAGAAAGAAATGATCTTCAGTGATCCTCAATAGCAAACTCTGCCTCTACTGGAGGAGCCTGACCATGACCCACAAACACAACATCATCATCACTACTCAGACCCTCTGGAAGAAAAATATATCTCTAGTCCGAGTCGGAGTCATCCCATCTTGGTCTCTTCGGTGGGATGTACGGGAAGCGCTCTCCAGTCCTCTTCTGGCTGGATCCAAGGACCGAGGTAGAAGGAGTGGGTTCTTCTACATCCTGGACCTCTTCAGCGCTCCCGTGGGCAGGCCTGGGATCTTCTGGAAGCTCTTCCGGCGGGGCCGGAGGAGCTACCGCCAGCCAGAAGTCTTCTAGTGGTGGAAGCTGCTGGTCTTCATCTCTATCCAGAACTTAGGTACCATAACCAGAGTCTACACTAGAAGCCATAAAACCTTCTAAAGCCGACCACAGAACCTCAATAGCACGCTCTGGCTCCAACTCCTCATCACTAATCAGACCCTCAATAGCACGCTCTAACTCCAACTCCTCATCCCTACTCAGACCCTCAATAGCACGCATTAACTCCAACTCCTCATCCCTACTCAGACCCTCAATAGCACGCTCTAACTCCAACTCCAAATCCCTACTCAGACGCTCAATAGCACGCTCTGCCTCCAACTCCTCATCCCTACTCAGACCCTCAATAGCACGCTCTAACTCCAACTCCTCATCCCTACTCAGACGCTCAATAGCACGCTCTAACTCCAACTCCTCATCCCTACTCAGACCCTCAATAGCAAACTCTAACTCCAACTCCAACTCCTCATCCCTACTCAGACCCTCAATAGCACGCTCCAACTCCAACTCCAAATCCCTACTCAGACCCTCAAAAGCACGCTCTGCCGCTACTGGAGGAGCCTGAGCATGACCCACAAACACCACATCATCATCAGGAATGTGAAGGGCTGGGTACCTACCTTCATCTTCATCGAGAATCCGGATGACCTCAGGGACCCCTGCAGTCGCGGGACGCTCCACGATGAAGATGCCTGTGAAGACAAAACAAGACACATTAAATCCACTTGTGTCATAAAACAGTTATGAAAAAGCTACAATGACTTGTTTACAATACAAGAGATGTGTGTCTGCATCTGCATGTGTGCACAAGACACACTTTACTAATCTGGTCGTTTTTGGGGTTTAACAGGTTAAAACAGAGTTCTGATTTTACTGAAAAAGTTTCCATTTTTAATTTATGTGATTGTTTATTATTTATGTTTCATGTTTATAGCTGATGTATTTCTAAAAAGATATAATGTTTTACAGCTTGTAGACACAACACTGCTCAAATAAAGTTGTTTTAAAATGGGCTCTGTAAAAATAAACAGAAGACTCATTAAACTGGTGAAAAGTGTTTAAAATAGATTCAAACAGACAGAAATGCATTTATAAACCTGAGAACCAACTCAGAGAACACGTCAAACTTTCTACTTGGATAAAACAGATGAAGTCCTTAAAGATCAAAGGTCTCTAGTTCACTCAGATTTATGGAAACAACTCATGTTCACCGATGCTAACAGGCTGAAGCTAAAGCTAGCTGTACGTTCTAGCATGTTCTAGTCATGACGTTTCATACCTGGTTCATCCGTTGCTATGGTCACGAAAACAACATGTTTTTGTTTGAAGCATTCTTTTTTAGAATCGTACATGTCATTTTATTAGTTTTAAAAATTTCGATGTAAAATTGAACTAAACGGGTTTGCTGAAACCAAATTGGTGTTTTTCTTTTAACGCTACTCTCTAACGCTACTCTAGTCTGATAGTCATCCCACCGACCTGCTGGGACCCTCAACATGCTGAGGCTGTGTGATGAGGTTGAGTCACAGGTCGGTGCTAATGTGAGAAACCTTTTGTCTCTATCCCGCTAAAAGAACCACATATTCAGCTTTTATTTGGCTTGCCCAGCTGACAAAAACCAACAGGCGCTCCTCGCGCTCACTCACCTCGCGGCTGTCCATCCTCTTTCATATCAATAATACAAAAGAAACCGACATGCCAGAACAAAACTAGTAAAAACATTTGATGTGTTCAAACTGTTCCAGGGGAATTTGAGCCTCACTTGTCCACAGAAAACATGTTTCACCTCCATAAAACACCAAATCTCGTCTCGTCTTCTTCCGCCTATCCGTGTCCGGGTCGCGAGGGCAGCATCCCAACTAGTTCCACACCGTCCTCTCTCCGGCCACCTCCACCAGCTCCTCCGGCAGGACCCCAAGGCGTTCCTGGGCCAGTTCGGATATGTACTTTCTCCAACGTGTCCTGGGTCGCCCAGGGGGCCTCCTGCCAGCAGGACATGCCCAAAACACCTCACCAGGGAGGCGTCCAGGAGGCTTTCTAACAAGATGCCCAAACCACCTCAACTGACTCCTCGATATGGAGGAGCAGCGGCTCTATTCCGAGTCTCTACCGAATGTCCGAGCTCCGCACCCTATCCCTCTGGCTGACCCAGCCACCCCGCCGGAGAAAACTCATTTCGGACGCTTGTATCCGCGACCGTGTCCTTTCGGTCATTACACAAAGCTCATGACCATAGGGGAGGACTGGGCGGTAGATCGACTGGTAAATGGTGTTGTGCCATAAATCGACTCGCTGCCAAAAAATGATTAGCCACTAAAGAAAGGAAAGGGGGAAAAAATCAAATCGCTGGAGAATTGTTTATTTACATTTATACAACGTTTACATTCAATACAGGGCGCCATTTTACATTGTTTATTTTTTAGTATCAAGGCTGTAACATAAAGAAAGCCAGTTCTTACCATAAACCATCTTTCAATCGCAAACATTGCAAAAAGGATTAATATATCCTCACTGTGAACGTTTAAGACAAATAGCAACACTTAAAACAACTTCCGAACTGGAAAAAACTAAGCTAATCATTTTTTGGCAGCGAGTCGATTTATGGCACAACACCTGCCTCAAGTGGAGGAGTTCAAGTATCTCGGGGTCTGGTTCACGAGTAAAACACCAAATGTGATTTTAAAACACACATTCGGTCTTCCAAATACACAAATTTAACATTACAATAATGTTTCAGTAGTTTGTCCTTTAGGAAACATGAAATGATTCAGATGGAGAATTTAACTGATGTTAGCTTACCGTGCTCCTCCCGGAAAGACATCTCCCTGGTAGGTTGGTTCTCCTTGGTAGGTTGGTTCTCGGGTCTTCTTCAGCTAGCCACAAACTTCTTCAGCGATTTCTGCTCTGCAGAGGCTCTCCAAGCTCGTCCAAGGACTACTATTGAAGCAAATCTCCAGAAGCTCTCTCGACCAAGTGCTGCTCTAGCGCAAGTTCGAAAGAAAGAAAGACTTCTAAAATTCGATGAGCTTTTATAGACGAGTAACGTTCTAATTCTATGACGTATACACGCACATGCGTGTAACAGATTCCTAACCTGTCGCTTTGCAGCAGGTGCACCCGAGGGGTCTCTCAGCCCTCTAATGGACAGAAGCTATTACTGCAGCTGTTTTCGAACGGTCACTTAGCTAATTATGTAATAGCAGTGAGGACTTTTAGTGCTGTTGTGCTTTTGTAATCTCCAGTTTGAATATATCAGATGTTTTGTATTCAAACAAAAACATGTTTTTTTCGTAACCATAACAACGGATGAATGAAACGTCATGACGTAGAACCGCGTAGAACGTACAGCTAGCTTTAGCTTCAGCCTGTTAGCATCGGTGAACATGAGTTGTTTCCATAAATCTGAGTGAACTAGAGACCTTTGATCTTTAAGGACTTCATCTGTTTTATCCAAGTAGAAAGTTTGACGTGTTCTCTGAGTTGGTTCTCAGGTTTATAAATGCATTTCTGTCCGTTTGAATCTATTTTAAACACTTTTCACCAGTTTAATGAGTCTTCTGTTTATTTTTACAGAGCCCATTTTAAAACTACTTTATTTGAGCAGTGTTGTGTCTACAAGCTGTAAAACATTACATCTTTTTAGAAATGCATCAGCTATAAACATGAAGCATAAATAATAAACAATCACATAAATTAAAAATGGAAACTTTTTCAGTAAAAGCAGAACTCGGTTTTGATCTGTTAAACCCCAAAAACGACCAGATTAGTAAAGTGTGTCTTGTGCACACATGCAGATGCAGACACACATCTCTTGTATTGTAAACAAGTCATTGTAGCTTTTTCATAACTGTTTTATGACACAAGTGGATTTAATGTGTCTTGTTTTGTCCTCACAGGCATCTTCATCGTGGAGCGTCCCGTGATGGCAGGGGTCCCTGAGGTCATCCGGATTCTTGATGAAGATGAAGGTAGGTACCCAGCCCTTCACATTCCTGATGATGATGTGGTGTTTGTGGGTCATGGTCAGGCTCCTCCAGTAGAGGCAGAGTGTGCTATTGAGGGTCTGAGTAGTGATGATGATGGTCAGGCTCCTCCAGTAGAGGCAGAGTTTGCTATTGAGGGTCTGAGTAGTGATGATGATGTGGTGTTTGTGGGTCATGGTCAGGCTCCTCCAGTAGAGGCAGAGTGTGCTATTGAGGGTCTGAGTAGGGATGAGGAGTCGGAGGAGACTGACATGAGCTCAGATTGGTCAGCTTTAGAAGGTTTTATGGCTTCTAGTGTGTACTCTGGTTATGGTAGCTCAGTTCTGGATGGCGATTAAGACCAGCAGCTTCCACCACTATAAGACTTCTGGCTGGCCCGTAGCTCCTCCAGCCCCGCCGGAAGAGCTTCCAGAAGATCCCAGGCCTGCCCACGGGAGCGCTGAAGAGGTCCAGGAGTAGAAGAACCCACTCCTTCTACCTCGGTCCTTGGATCCAGCCAGAAGAGGACTGGAGAGCGCTTCCCGTACATCCCACCGAAGAGACCAAGATGGGACGACTCCGACTCGGACTAGAGATATATATTTTTTCCAGTGCAGCGCCACTGAAGATCATTTCTTTCTTTCTTTCTTGAACTGGTCGACTGGAAACGTTTGTCTCAGGTAGCTTGTTGCACCAGGACTGTTTTTTTACCAGGTCACCAGATGTTTGTTTTAGTCACCAAGTGTTTTATCAAGTCAGCTGAACTGGTGATGTCTTAGGTAGCATCTGGCACCAGGACGTCTTCATCCGTTGGCTGAGTTTAAGGTTTTATTATTTAAGAAGTGTGTTTTTAGAGCTGGTAGAACTGGAGATGCTGATGTGGACGTTTCACCTGGGCTTCTGTGTCTGGTTGCTAAATCTTCTATTTTATTTGGGTCCTGAGAGGATTTCCTTTCATCTGATGGAGCAGGCAGTCTGGTTTAGCATCATACACACACACACACACACACACACACACACACACACACACACACACACACACACACACACACACACACACACATGCATATATATCAGTATATGATATTCTAACGTTCACTAAAAGATGTAAGCCTGGAACACAAGAGGCCATCGGAGCAAACAAGATCCCACCTGAGATGGATGGTGAGAGGTAGTAGAAGATAAACAAGAGACCAAGGAGGGCAGGAAGATGGAGGCAAAACTACAACTACAGTGATGCTCCTGATAATCTGGTAGAGCAGATAGAGCAGGTCTTAGTGAGAAATGGGACGTTTACTTGGTGACATGAGCATAAGCTGATGGTGATCTTTGATCCGTATGAAAGACAAGGACGATAACATCATCTTCATCATGTCCTTTCTGTTTCACTAACTGTTCTGTCACAAGAAACTGTTCTAAATAATGTGTAGAAGCGTTTGATTCCAGGTTTAGGAGGAGCTCTCCGTGTCTGTTTGTGTCCTCACGTCCTGCTGGACTGAGCTTCTCTGGGCTTTGTGGTCCTGCAGGAACCAGGAAGGAGCTGAACAGCAGAGCTCTGACACAGACGGAGCAAACAAAGGTTTTAGTGTTTAAATGTGCACGCGTTTAAAAATAGCTCTTTGCAAAAGTTAAACAATAAATACTAAAATATTAAAGGCTAATAAAATATAGTCTAAACATGTAATTGATTAAAATTAACTTGAATATTTTAACAAGTTACTGTGCTGTTAAGTTAAAGCAATAAAGACTCAGATTATTTACATTCAACATAACTTTAAGATTCACCGCAGAACAAAATTACGATGCGTTTGACCGCGGCTAAAGAACGGATAAACATCGTAAAAGAACGAGAAGTTAACGAAAAGCATAAAAGTCAAAGGAGGCTCTAAATCTGTAAAACGTTTATAAAATACTAAAATGAATTTAATTAGAAATAATTTTTTATTCTGACGGTTTCTTTTTTCCTGCATCAAGACAGAATTTATGTTCCAACATTAAATGCTGTGTTGATGCAGGTTTTGCTTTACCGTCCCGGTCGCCCAAAGCAAAAGGCTCTGGTAACGGAACTCTCAGTAATGAGACGGGGTTCGATTCCCTGCAGGGCCCTGCTGCTTATGCCGACTGAGACTAACGCTGTTTCACTACACTTTACCATCTACATAAAGATATACTAGGTTCAGTTATTCAGTTTAAGGAATTTTGTCATAAATCTTCATAAAAATCTAAATTCCTCTAAACAGTGAAGAGCTGTTTGTCATACGTCACTAAAAGGATGTCTTACAGGGCAGCTCATGCCGCTAGTACATCGTGTTTAGCTGTATTTTAATCAACTTCATATTCAATAATTACAGAAAATTGTGTTTACAGTTGCAGCAAAAAGTCTGAACCCTATGTCGGAGTCCTACACACATTGTAACTAACGGTTTGACCTAAAATAATAACCTAAATCTATCTGGAACCGCTACCGGTCCTTCTGCACTCCAGACGAGTCCCGTTAGCATGACTGCAGCAACACAGCTAACTGTGTTAGCAAGGGGAAAAGTAATTTGGAAAGCCACGACACACTCACACAGATAAGATCTAAAAGAAGAGCCACATATTTCAACAACAGATCCTCCAGAGACCGGCAGAACCTCAGAACCATCCTGGATTACTACAAACACAAGCTAGCGAGCTACTGCAGCATCCCAGTCAGGAGGAATTATTCTGCTGATCTATCGATTAAGTTTGTTCTGGAGTTATTTCAATATAAACACGCAGCGGTTCAACTGGCAGCACATTGTTTTATCTATAGATTAGTGAATTATATTGGGACGGTATGATGGGGCTAATGGTCAGCTAACAACTCGTCAGCTGAGGGCTACAAGCTTAGAAATGAAATATTCATCTAAAGTAAACAAACTGAACTGATTTTGGTTCTGAAGATGTTCAGCATTCTCCCTGGAGTCCAGATCAGGCTCACGGGTCTTCTCGCCGTATCCCAGATCTGACCGATCTTGTCATGTTCAAGAAGCCAGTGTGAAATGATTTGAGCTTTATGACATGGTGCATTATCCTACTGTCATGGTCTGCGTCTGCGTCTTCCCTCATGTGTCTCCTGATGTTTCTCCATCCCTCTCTGGATTCTACGGACGCTTCAAACGATGGCTTGGGAGCAGTACTGTTGCAAAAGAATGAAATAAGTGGCAGCCGGTGGCATATGCATCCAGATCTGACTGAGAAACGCTACGCTCAAATAGAAAAAGCAACTTTAGGCTTGGTCTTTGGATGCAGGAAGTTCCACGGCTAGATGTTTGGTTTACCAACATTCATAGCAGAAACGGATCACAAACCTCTCATCACAAATAGGAAGTCGAATCTCAATGACATGTCACCAAGAATACAATGTATGATAGTGATGCTGCAGCATTTGAACTGATATACATGCTAGGCAAGTTTGCCAGGCATGCCAGGCAAGTTTATTGTACTGGCTGATGCATTGTCTCATGCACCTGCACCAGGTGGTGACAGCAGTTTCAGTATGGTGGTGGAGGAAGTCGAAACCAAGCCCCCACAATTCGGTTCTGAAAGTGAGGCCAATGCAGAAGTGAAGTTCCACCCTCATCCACTAGGGGCTGGTGTCAGAAAATAGCAAATCCTCATTGACTCCCATGTTAAAAATACCATTTCACAGCAGAAACGAACATGTGTACAGCTTGGTTTTTGGTTTAAATGATCTAGTTTACACTCATGACAACTCTGAGGGGGGTGAATTTTTTTTCACTCTTCTGTTTAAGTGTATTAAAAGCCTAAAATTCTGTACACTGTAAATCCTCTAATACAGGCCCGAGCCTGTATTTGACTCAAGCTCATCAAGCTCCAGGCGTTTATTGGAAGGAGGACCAGAACTAGAGGCAGGCCTCAATTTCTATTTGAGCAAAATGAACTAATGGTTCGCTGGAGTTTTTGACAATTAAAATTGCGCCCACATTTTCAAAGTTAAACACATTTCTTTTAACAACGGTAGTTCCTGCTTCAGCCCTCTCCCCCCTCCCCCTGCGCAGCGGCCGCAAACTCACTGATGCGCCTGCAGCCTCTCAGAGTTCCTGCTGCTCTAAACATTAAAATAATTATTTCATTTTCTGTTCCTCACTTCTGATTACCTTCAATGGTGTCTGTTTGTTGCAGCCACCAGGTACAAAAACTAACTTGTTTTTATTTGACTATTTTTCTGTCCTGCCGGTTTATTATCTTCCTGCATCTCAATCCTAAAGAAAAACTGCTACCTGCCTTCATATATACTCACCTTATGAGTTACCTTTGAACTGCAGTTCTAAAAGATCTACAGACCGCAAAAACAGCGGAGTGCGCGCTGCTCGCCGGCCGCACCGGTGCGTCACTGGAGGACAAGGTGATGCGCCCCGATCCACAGCAGTGAAAAGCATCAGGCACAAATAAAAGACAGAAAACATAAAAGGAAATGAGCCGACATGAACGATCGCGTGTTAAATTAGTTTTTGAGGTGGCGACACCTGATTTGATAATGTTACTGTGGCCGTGCTCAGGACGCAGATGTCTGGAACGCGTCAACAATCAGAGCTTTGCATGCGCAAGCTGGTTAAGGTTAGGATGGGGATGAGGGGAAGGTTAAACTGCAAGAGGGTAAAGGTCACAATTTGGTTAAATGATCGTTTTACGGCGGGTGTCAGTACCGACGCTCTGGCACAGCGCGTTGCCTCACGACGCACAGGAGCTCCTCACCTTCTGACAGCAGGCTGCTGTCTTTTCCTAGGACTGCATTTTGCCGGTCATTATCATGTGACAGCGACTAGTCAATGACAGGCATCACAAGTCACTATAGAGCGGTGAAGTCGACTAGTGACTAGTTCATATTGCTCCCCAGAGTGTTCTGCAGCATAATCAGCACGTTCTCTTTGATCTTGATATCAAATTTTCGCCTCCCCTTCGTCTCCGCACGGTTAAAGTTACCCTCACGGTCTATCACTGGCAAATCAAAAGTGAGACGGATGTCACAACCGCCCCCCTGTGGTACTTGCTTGTTACCACATCTCACCCGGCCACAATAAAAAACCGGCCATTATTCACCTCCGCCGACTCCGACACCGGCCAAAATGTGATACCTGGCCGTCAATTGAATACAGGCCAATATTAGAGGATTTACAGTAATTAATGAGCATCAGACCCACGTGACCGCAGAGCTAGCCCCAGGGAAAGGCCTCAGTCTGAGCCTCGGCCTCACCTGATAACTGTTCCGTCAGTTTCAGTCTCTCAACTTAGACCATTAGTTGTAGCGTTTGTGTATTCTTTTTTGGATATTTTTGTGCAATTGTTGGACGAAATTACTTGCTGTGGCATTAATTGCAATAATAGAGCGTCCAAGGAGTCTCCACTTAATATTTTTCGGTAAGTAAAATTATATTTATGTATTTTAGGTCACTGCCAAGCTGAGCTTAGATTTTAACATGTACTGTTTAACCATGAAATTTAAATGTAATAGGGTAAAACGCAGTGCATTTAACATAATGCTGCACTTTATAAAATGGGTTGAAATATAAAATGTTGGTGGAGCTGGGTTCCGACTATCGGCTTGTGGAGCTCTCGGGAGACCGATGTTTTCCACCCGCTTCTCCCCTCCCCGCAGCTCGGCGCTTCTCTGTCTGATCGCGGCTCCTGACTGCTACGCGGGCTGCCGGCTTGTGGAGCTCTGGGATGGAAACCTTTCCACCCGGTTCTCCCCAGCAGCAGCTCTGCGCATCTCAGATCGCAGCGGCGCCTGTCTGCTGTGCGGCTGCCGGCTTGTGGAGCTCTCGGAGACCTCTGTGTTCCACCCGGTTTTACCCAGCGGTCAGCCCGGCGTAGCTCTGACTCAGAAGCTCTGGTGTTGTGCACAGTTAACTCCGGTTGTAGCTAGGTTGCTACCTCCGTTAGCTTAGCTCCCACCTCCGCCTTAGCTTTGGGTTAGCTTCAGGTTAGCTTGTTGTAGCTAGTTCGACCGGGTGTCGTCAGTTGATCCCAGCCTAGGGTGACCAGATTTAAAAAACTGAAAACTGGGACACCAAAGTTTTACACAAAATTAAAGACTGACAAATCCTTGCTGGTGACTTATAACTGCTTTTTATTGTACAAAATGCAACAACATTTGAACATCCTATTAAAAATAAGGACATTCTTTTTTTTAGTGCAATGTTTTGTTATTTTCTTTTTCAAAATAATACTGTATTTGTGAAACACATTGGGCAATATTAAATGTAGCCCTTTTGTGAAAAGATAAACAAAGAATTTAACTGACCTTTATAACAGCTTTTGATTGTAGAATGTGCAAGAACAGAAACATTTGATCTATATTCAAAATAAGGACAGTTTTTCTAATATTTTTAGTGCAATCGTTTTCCAAAACAATACAGTATTTTTTTAAACACATTTGTTTGGGCAATATTAAATGTAGCCCTTTTGTGAACAAAAAAAGTATTTCACTGACTTCAAGTTTTTTAGAAACAAAAATATTGCACTAAATGAACAGCCCTATTGTTCCCTTTAATGTCACAGTAACTCTTTAAGAGTATTTCATGTTTGAGTGAATCTTTTTAAGCAGACTGTGGTTGTCAACAAGTCTGGCATGAAACTCAGAGCAGTCATCAAAGTTCACCCGAGTAATGAGCAGTGCCTTCAGAGTGTCCAGTCCCAAACGATTTCTCTCACTGGTCCAAGTGTTGTTCATGAGAGAAAAAATGCGTTCCACAGAGGCGTTTGTGCCAGGTAGGCACATGGCAAACTGGCAGATGACGGCTACATTTTTAAATGGGACATGCTGATGCTTAAAATGTGTAAACATTTCAGCCCAGCGCTCATCTGCTGGTTTAATGTCTCGGTCCCACAGTCCAATCTTGTCAGATGTGTAAGTTTTGACAGAAGTAACTTCGTCAAAGAGCTCCGTTTCATTGATGTGAATGTTTGGCAGCTTTGAGGAGACACACCTCAGGGAGCTCTCAACCACATCCCAACCTGGTGGATCTTCGAGCAGGGTCCAAGAGAAGCACTTCATGTCAGTAAATGAGGAGCTCCACTCCTGCAGATATGAGATGCAACCTTCATAGAAGGTGTGGAGGCTTTGCTTAAACACCTCCACTTGAGGGCGATCTTGGGTAGCCAGAATGCTCTTCACCTGAAAAAAACACCAATAATAATTCAAGAAGCATTAATATAAGAGCCTTGTTTTTACATTACTTTTAATTTGAATATGTTTAAATTCACCTTTAATCCCATGAAGAGGGCGGCCTTCCTCTCCAAAAGTTTCTCCTGTAGATCACACAGGTGCTGTGCAGCGTGGTCAGCTGTGCTCTTCTCTTTCTCCATCTTTTTGATGGTGTCATTAAACAGTGACAGTTGGTTGTAATGTGTGTAAACCACAACCAGGCCTCACACACTTAGTTTTCTAGGAACTTGATGATTAAATTAGGTGCTTTTTCCTAAGACCTGAAGTAGGACTGAAGTGCTGGATAAAGCTTCAGAAACCCTCTCAACTGCAGGTCACAGTGAGAGCTAATGGGTTCTGCTGGTCCCAAGGAGAGTGGCATGTTCAACATCAACAAATGAACAGAAGTCTTTCAGCTCCTCAGTTTGGACAGTGTAGATGGGAAAATATCCAAAAACCTTGACAACAAAGTTCTCAATGTCACATTAGCTCAACTTTATGTCACATGTCTGTGTAACCTAATGCTCATTGGTTGATGGCAACGCCGTTGACGCAAGACGGCTCCTAAGTCCTGCGTAAAGACGATTCACCAAGTCACTCGTTGTTCAGCATGCCTAAAAGATGGTCAAGACTAACAAAAGAGCTACTGGAACGACACATCTTTCAAGTATTTATGTATTTCAAGTAAAGTATTTCAAGTAAGTATTATGTAAATTTCAAGTATTTATGGACATGAACAAAAACAGGAAATATATAAACTGAGATATTTAATTAATATAACAAATAAGGGGGAAAGAGTCATTGAAAGGCACATTCTTCTGGAAGCTCCTGATCCTGACGACACCAGCAGAGACGACCACCTGCAGACACCAGAGGATCACCTACGACCAAGAGAGCAGCTGGTATCAGTGAAAAAATAATGAAATCAGGGCAGTTTTAGTGGGCTGAACAAATTACAGAATAATTTTCTCATGGGGTAGTTTCATAACTTTCTATGCAGCAGATTGTAATTTGAGCCCAGGGCTCCTGGAGAGCTGCAATCCAGCAAGTTTCAGTGGTTTTCCTGCTTTAGCAGGTTAGATTAGCTGTTAAGCAGCTCAGCTATTTGTTGCTGATTAAAACCAGGTGTGTTGAAGCAGATAAATCTCTAAAACATGCTGAATACTAGCTCTCTAGGGCCGTGGAGCCAAACCCTGCAGCTAATCTAATGCTATGGCTAACGGCTACTAACCATTCAGAGCTAGTTCTGTTGGGTCGGTTCCGCTAGTTTCAGGCAACTCACAAGCTCAAAACAAAGAGGCTCAGGTCCGCTTGTCTACTCCAAATAGACTTGGTTCCTTTCTTCTCGAGTGTCTGGGTAAGGAGAGGGAGAAACGTCTTCCACTTCTAATAAATGCTCAGTGTGAAGGGAGCTAGCATTGTCTCGCTACCCTCTCGGTCCGCCAGGCAACGCCTACTAATGTTGCAGTTTTTAAAATTGATACGTGGGTGGAGAAGGACTCTGAGGCACACTTGACCCGCTCTTTAAATATGAAGCACGTAAGCGGTTGTCTAAAGGTATTGTTTAGTTCTGATCGACACTCAGTTTCCTATTGCACAGAGCTCTACAGGGCAGCCATGCTAGCAAAATTTAAAAAAAATTAAAGGCATTTTGCTTAGGAGAAAACTCCAGAAGGCTGCTTCAACAGCACATCAGCCACTCAGGAAGGTGGCACACAGAGGCTCAGAGCCTGACTCTGGGAAATTCTAATTCAAAGATGCTTTATTAATCCCAGAGGGAAATTAGAGTTTCAGTACACACAATTCTGAGATCAGACATATGTGGCAAGGTGGATAAACGAGGGCCCGGGCGGGATTCGATCCCCAGACTCCCGGGTGAGAGTCATACGCTCTAACCAGTCAGCCAAAGGGACATCCCCTTGGCCAAGTAGCCAGGGTGCATGATCAATCGGGACACTGTGACAGGACACACACTGTCACATCTTCCCCCCTCTTTCCACAAGCACGTCCTCGTGCTCCCGCGCAGGGTGCCACAAACTTCACATCCATGGACCTACTTGACAGTACTGCATGGATCCTGCCAACAACGCCACATGTGGCAAGGTGGATAAACGAGGGCCCGGGCGGGATTCGATCCCCAGACTCCCGGGTGAGAGTCATACGCTCTAACCAGTCAGCCAAAGGGACATCCCCTTGGCCAAGTAGCCAGGGTGCATGATCAATCGGGACACTGTGACAGGACACACACTGTCACACATACATAGGCAAAGACACATGACAAGAATTGGTGACTGTGGTCAAAGGTGAGCAGGATCAAACCACTTTTGAGGAGGGGGAGGTTTGCTGCATTTTTGTGGTTGAAATATAATGTTTCAACCAAGCACTATATGCTTTTTATATTTTTCAAACACATGGTAAAAATAAATGTTTCATATTCTCAAATTTTAGGGGTGCATTGATTTAATTTAGGGGTGCCTCAGCTCCCTCCAAAATGGGCTAAAAATGCCCATGACCTGTATGAATCCTGGCTTGATCTGTGTCAGGCCCCAATGAGGCAGGGGGAACCCAACAATGCACCAGCATTAGCACAGCCACTTAGCCAGAGGTGGACTGTGGAGAGCTTCTTGTCTTCTGCGCGTGCTTCAGTCGCAAAAAATTCTTTGTGTAAGAGGGGGATCCAGTGTGCATGCCCCAACTACCATAAGTCTATTTTAAAGATTTCTGCTCCCCAAAGAAACAGGAAATGCATCACACGACCTTTCGGTCGTGGTAAGACTAAAGGCTGATTCATGCTTCTCCTTCTGCGTCAGTGCGGAGACACGCAACGTCATTATCCGTCCTTGCGTAGGGCCCCGGCAGGCACGCAAGTACGTACGGAGTCGAGCCAACTTTTTTAAACATACGTCAAACGAGACGGAGAACGCAAGCTTGTGATTGGTCAGGGCACCACTGTCGTCTACACCGCCGCCATTGCGCCCTCAAAATCATAAAGAAAGCCGAGAATAACTAGTGGCAGACACGGAGAAGCTTGAAGAATACCTCGCGAAAAAACTCTAAAATATGAACGTTTAATTGCCCCGTGACTGGAGGAGTGAAAAGTTACGCAGCAAGCATTTTATTTGTGGACGGAAATGACAGGAAACGTGGGTTTAGAGGTGGCGAGCGCATGAAGAGGTGGAGGAGAATGAGAGACAAATTTGTCGTGTTAAAAAGTCTCTTATTTACAAAAAACACAATATAAACACACTATGTTGGACTGGATACATGACAGGATACCACAGAACAGCGCTACGCCCTCTGTTGTCCTGACGGGGAATTGCTTTGCAACACTTCCCAGGAGACGAAGAAGTATGAGAGCAAAACACTTCCGTCAATCCGTGTGTGTCTGTCCCTTGCGGAGCTGACGGAGAAGCATGAATCAGCCTCCAGAGGACATTTTTAAACCACACTTAAATGCAGAATAAACAGAGCACTTATACTCTGTATAATTATAGATCATTTCATGGAATTTTCAGGGTGTTTTAAAAGTATGTTAGGATTTCTATCTTCTTCTTCATCTCCCTGTGAGACTGGTAGGGTGGCACCCCAGCGCTCCCTGTGACCGCCACTGCTCCTGAACTATTTTTCTGAACAGAGGCTGTTCAGGACGTTATCTACATCACAGCATTACTGTCCATCTATCTGCTTTTTCAACCATCTGCTCATATTTTGTAATTTTGAAACCGTTTTTCCTTCAGCTATAATGTCCTTTATACTAAAAATGTTTTCTAACAATATTGTCTAAGCCGAACTGGAGCGGCAGGTGCAGCGGATCAGGAATGATATCCTTTAATATTGACTCTTATTCCCCAGTATTGTGCCTGTTCCGAGCTGTTTACTAACTGAGGAGCATTTCTGTTTCTGTCTCAAACTTCGTGCTCACATCAGCTCAGCACGCGCTGCAGCCTCACTGCCATGCAGTGTTCACGCGCTGAATTCTTCTGCTGATTGGCTGGAGGCGAGACAAACAAAGGATTTCGACCAATCGGAGCCATGTGCACGCGCTGAGTCACAGCGGACGTCCCAGCTGCACATGCTCTGCACGCGCTGCTGGTATAAAACGGTCAGAGTCTTTGTTTACAGCAGAGAACAGGGAGCGGTTTAGGAGGGGATAGCTGTCTAACTTTCGGGCGTTGTAACGCGAAAAGCTCACATTGCTGCGCGAGTTGGAAACAGAACGCAAACATGGTGGCAATGACGAAAAAAGTGAAAACCTTCCAGGTCGTCCTGTCGGACCCGTGCAAATCGTTTTACTGCGGCGGGGACCGGGTCAGCGGTCGGGTCGAGGTGGAGGTGTCCGAGGTGACCCGTGTGTCCGCCGTCAAGCTGCTGGGTCTGGGCTGCGCGAAGGTGGAGTACGCTAAAGGCAAGCAGCGGTGCCGCCAGGAGGCCGAGTACCTTCGGTACGAGGAGGTTCTGAGTCTGGGCGACCAGCCCGCAGGTACATGGGGTCCGGGGATTCTCTCTGGGGCATCATCACAGCAACATGCTGATCACAACCGTCTGTGTATCTTTCAGACTCGGACGGATCCGTAGTTCTGAGACCCGGTAACAAGTATGAGTACCCGTTTGGGTTCGACCTTCCTGAGCAGGGGTAAGTCGGACCCAGTCCATCTGGGTCTAGGACGCATCACTGACCTCTAGAGGTAATGCCTTGGGTTTTAACAGGTCTGCTGTGTTCGTTCTGGACTTTCAGTCAGCTGGTGTCGTCATACAAGGGCAAGTTCGGTTACGTCCAGTACTATGTCAAGGCCCAGATGGAGAGACCTCAGCAGCCCACGGTGGAGAGCAAGAAGTACTTCGAGGTGGAAGAACCTCTGGATGTGAACACTCCGGACCTGCTGGTGAGTTCACTAGTGGGTCAGAACCAGAGCGATCTGGTTTCACTTCGGATCTTCTGTTTACATGGGAAACACCCCACTGTTTCCCTGTGCGTGTGCGCGCGTGGTTCCACCATGATACAGTAGATAAGAGGTATCACGTGACCGGCGTATGCAGGAAGTTTAGAAGTGGACTCAGAAGCTGCTCCCAGAGAGGCAGATGGTTTTATTTCAGTAACAGACAATCATGCATGATGACTGGTTCCAATCAGCAGCTCCTTTTTACACACCACCACAGTTCTGGTGATGACAAACTGCTTCCTGTGTCTTCAGTCTCCTGCTGGCGGCATGAAGGAGAAGAAAGTCACCTGCATGTTCATCCCTGATGGCCAGGTGTCGCTCAACGCTAAAATTGACCGCCGTGGTTTCTGCGAGGGTGAAGACATCTGCATCAACGCCAAATTTGAGAACACATGCTCCCGCATTGTGGTCCCGAAAGCCGCCATCATAGCCAAGCACACATACCAGGCTAACGGGCGCACCAAAGTTTTCCGCCAGAAGCTTTCCTCTGTGCGTGGAAACCACATCATCTCAGGGATGTGCGACGCCTGGCAGGGGAAGACCATCAGGGTGCCGAAGATCAAACCGTCCATGCTGGGCTGCAACATCATCCGAGTGGAGTACGCCCTGATGGTAAGTCTGCTTCCTATGGGAGGACTCTGTTAGCCCTGGAACATGGTGTTAAGGTTCCTCATTGTTTCCCAGATTTACATCCACATCCCCGGCAGTGAAAAGCTTATCCTGGAGCTGCCCCTGGTCATTGGGACATCTGGGATTGGCAGTCGCACTAACAGTGTGAGCAGCCAGGAGGGTTCGATCAGCACTGCCTCTCAGAGCTGGGTGTCCCTCAGGATGCCCGCTGAACCCCCGAGCTACTGTGACATCACTAAAGACTGCCGTCTGGACCAGCCGCTCACGCCTCTTCTAGATGATGTGGACTGTGATGACAGTCCCATCTTTATGAACGCTCCCAGCTTCCAGTTCCCATCCCCTCCAGCCTACTCTGAGGTAGGTCTCACACCAGTTAGCTCCATGGCTAGCACCAAGCTACATGTGGCATTACATCTCAAGGTTTTTTTGTTTTTCAGGCTGAGGAGTACAAGGGGAATGCTCAGATGCTTCCTGTCTGCTAAAAGTCCCGAATCCTGGAGGGGTTGTCCACCTCTCCGATTGTTCTTCTAAAGCGCTTCCAAAAAGCTGAAGGTCCAAACTCCAGATGGGATGGGATGTTGGATGGAGAGTTGAACAGAAATGCACTTGCCTGTTACCATGCTTCGTCTTCCATGCTGATGCAGAATCTCCCTCCTGGAGCTGTTTGGGTCGGAGTCCTGAAGCCATCACTTCCAGAGCCTGTCCACAGGCCCAAGAGGCATTTGAGTTGGATCCAACCTGCTGAGATGTCTTCATGAATCATTCCAGTCAGGACTTAAGGAGCTGCTGTTTCGTTGAGGTGTAGGAACAACATTCTCCTGAAGATTACAGAACTCTAATGCTGAGTGATGTTTCCAGATGTTTGAAGCCATTTCTTCATGTTTCCTGTAGCACTTTGTACTTTCTCCACGTCTGCTGACCAGGTTGTCTCTGAACAATATTTTTATGTTGGAATGACTTTTATTTTCCAGTTTCCAGGAACCTACTTCTGAGATTTGCCATTGGCAGTTTTTTTTTTTTTTTTTTTTTTTTTTTTTTTGCTGGAAAAACAGAGATTCAGCAACTCAGACCTGATGAAAGCACCTTCTAGAACATCAGCTCCAGTTGTCTCAGGCAACATTTCTGTGATGGTTCTGTAGTTTTTCTGTTGGCTCAAACAGAACTGCAGCGAATGGCTGATGTGGAAATGTTTTAATGTATCATTTATACGTTAAGTATTTTTGTAAGAAGCCCTATGGGTCTGTTTTCTATTAAAGGCACAATGTTAAATGATCTGATTGTTTTCCTTAGCTCCACCTGTTCAGGTGCTTGTAAACCAATACCTAAAAAGTTTAAACTTGAAATTCTGAATGGAAGAGAAACAAGATGATGCTGGTGTCAGACTGGTCTGAGTAGTTCAGAACTTGTAGATCTGCAGGGATTTTAACCCACAACCCTCTGAAGAAGAGAAAATCAGTGAGCAGCAGCTATGATTGAAACTTGTCTTGCTGAGGTCAGAGAAGACTGGTCAGACTGGATCTAGATGACCACATAGTCCCATTTGATGGCTGCTTCAAGCAGGACAAATAAAAGCAACAAAGGAAATATCTGGTGAATAAATTAAAGCTGTTGATGCAGAAACTATCTCGTTTGTGATTCTGTCACTAATTTAATATGAGGCTTAAAAAACGTGCTACCTGAAACCCTGCAGTTCAGCCAGAACCTTCGGTTGTACAGGATGTGGACAACAAACAAGATATCACTTTTCACAGACTTAAGTCACAAAGTGCTTCACAAACAAATGTCCCCTAACAAGACTTAGGTGCAACAGGTGAGAAAGCCACGTACCCTTTGGAGGTGCAACAGGTGAGAAAGCCACGTACCCTTTGGAGCTCAGGTATACTTCCCTGACTAAACTTCGGATGGTTTGTACACCATCACAGGTTCGATTGGAGAATTTTTTTAGACTTTTCTACTGAATGTTCAGCTGATAGTTAATGACATCACACTAGCTTGTTTACATCAGAGTTTTAGATGTTCTCCACACAGGAAGTGAAGGTTGTTTTTTACTTATCTCCTCCCATCTACTGAAAGTTCAGCTGATGGTGATGTGATGATATCACACTAGTTTTACAACATTCTACTGTTTTAACTGTTACTTAATCCCATAATGATGTCAGCACAAATGTCATTTATACATCATAACATTGTTATTGGACCTTCTCTGCTGCAGGACCGACGTTTCCTCTCAGATCCTAAAGGTCGTACTTGTTTACATCAGAGCTTTAGATATTCTCCACACAGGAGGTGAAGGTTGTTTTAGGTCTTATCTCCTCCATCAAACCCAGTAGAAACATCAACGTTCCTCAGGGTGACCCTATAGAGCCTTCTGATGCTCACAGTTCAACAAGTTTTTCAAAAACAATTCAGTTTTCAGCCAGCAGCTGTTAGTCTGATCACACTAAACTTTCTCCTAAGGCTGATCCTTCAGAATGCAATTTTTAGGTGTGTGTGTGTGTGTGTGTGTGTGTGTGTGTGTGTGTGTGTGTGTGTGTGTGTTTACCTGATAAGGACTGTTTTGTTGTGTCTTGCTGCCTTCAGTCAGACAGCAGGACTCAGATTACATATTGCTCTAGCGTTTAGTTACTCGTGGCCTCACCAGGTGAGGCTCACGTGGTCTTGGGTTCTCAGGAGTGCCCCATCGAGGTGGGTGCCTAGTGTCTTTATGATGCTTCAACTCAATAGATTAACTTATGAAACTTCATGTACTTTCTGCTGACTCAGCAGGTTCTGGGCTCCGGTTCTTCATGCTGAGCCCATGTATGGAGCCTGTTTTGGTTTTGATTTGCTGAGTGAACCGTCACCTTATCGTGATGGAGGAGTTTGAGTGCCCTAATGATCCTAGGAGCTATGTTGTCTGGGGCACTTTGTGCCCCTGGTAGGGTCTCCCATGATAAATTGGTCTTGGTGAAGGGTGCGACAAAGAACGGTTCAGAGGATCTTTCATGGATGAACTATCAAGGAGTCGGAGTACCCGGCCCGGAGGGTTACCGGGGTCCCACCCTGGAGCCAGGCCTGGGGTTGGGACCCATGAGCGAGCGCCTGGTGGCCGGGCTTTCGCCCATGGGGCCCGGCTGGGCCCAGCCCGAACCAGATACATGGGCTCATCCAACTGTGGACCCACCACCCGCAGGAGGAACAAGAAGGGTCCGGTGCAGTGTGGATCGGGTGGCAGACCGAGGCGGGAGCCTTGGCGGTCCGATCCCCGGACAAGGACGTCACCTCGCTGGCAGGAAAGGAGCAGGAGCTTGTGGCAGAGGTTGAGCAGTACCGGCTAGATATAGTTGGACTCACCTCGACACATAGCATTGGCTCTGGAACCCAAGTCCTTGAGAGGGGTTGGACACACTCCTTTGCTGGAGTTGCTCCGGGTGAGAGGTGGAGGGCTGGGGTTGGCTTTTTGTTAGCCCCAAGACTCTCTGCCTGTGTGTTGGGGTTTACCCTGGGGGACAAGAGGGTACCTTCCCTGCGCCTTCGGGTCGGGGAACGGGTCCTGACTGTTGTTTGTGCTTATGGGCCAAATATCAGATCAGAGTACCCACCCTTTTTGGAGTCCCTGGGACGAGTGCTAGATAGTGCTTCATCAGGGGACTCCATTGTCCTGCTGGGGGACTTCAATGCTCACGTGGGCAATGACAGCATGACCTGGAGGGGTGTGATTGGGAGGAACGGCCCGCCTGATCTGAACTCAAGTGGTGCTTCGTTATTGGACTTCTGTGCAAGCCGCAGTTTGGCCATAACGAACACCATGTTCGAACATAAGGATGCCCATCAGTACACTTGGTACCAGGGCAGCCTAGGTCGCAGGTCGATGATAGACTTTATAGTCATATCATCTGACCTGCGGCCGTATGTTTTGGACACCCGAGTGAAGAGAGGAGCGGAGCTGTCAACTGATCACCACCTGGTGGTGAGTTGGATCAGATGGCAGGGGAAGATGCCGCGTAGACCTGGCAGACCCAAACGCATAGTGAGGGTCTGCTGGGAACGCCTGGCAGAAGAACCTGTCAAGACGGTCTTCAACTCCCACCTCCCTTGTTCCACTCCGCGATTGTTGTTGAGGCGGCTGTTGCTAGCTGTGGTCGCAAGGTGGCCGGTGCCAGTCATGGTGGCAACCCCCGTACCCGCTGGTGGACACCAGAGGTTCGGGGAGTCGTCAGGCTGAAGAAGGAGGCCTACAGGGTGTGGCTGGTCTGTGGGTCTCCGGAGGCAGCAGACAGGTACCGGATAGCCAAGCGGGGTGCAACAGTGGCAGTTGCAGAGGAAAAATCTCGGGCGTGGGAGGAGTTTGGTGAGGCCATGGAGAAAGACTATTGATCGGCTCCAAAGAGGTTCTGGCAAACTGTCCGGCACCTCAGGAGAGGGAGGCAGCAACTCGCTCACACTGTTTACAGTGGGGATGGGGAGCTGCTGATGTCAACTGGGGCTATAGTCGGGCGGTGGAAGGAATACTTTGAGGAGCTCCTCAATCCCACCAACGCGCATTCCGAGGAGGAACCAGAGCCGGGAGACCTGGGGATGGACTGTCCAATCTCGGGGGCAGAAGTTGCTGAGGTAGTCAAACAACTACACAGCGGCGGAGCACTGGGGTCAGATGAGATTTGTCCTGGGTTTTCAAGGCTATGGATGTTGTAGGGCTGTCGTGGTTGACACGTCTCTGCAAAATTGAGTGGTCATCGGGGCAGTTCCTGTGGAGTGGCAGACCGGGGTGGTGGTCCGCATCTTTGAGAAGGATGACCTGAGGGTGTGTTCCAACTATAGGGGGATCACACTCCTCAGCCTCCCTGGAAAGGTCTACTCCAAGGTACTGGAGAGGAGGGTCCAATCGATAGTTGAATTTCAGATTGGAGTGGAGTGTGTCAAGTTTGGTGGCAGGAGAATCTCCTCTCTGCTTTTTGCGGATGATGTGGTGCTCCTAGCTTCATCCAGCTCTGACCTTCAGCTCTTGCTGGGTAGGTTCGCAGCCGAGTGTGAAGTGGCTGGGACGAGGATCAGCACCTCCAAATCTGAGACCATGGTTCTCGACCGGAAAAGGGTGGCTTGCCAACTCCGGGCCGGGAGAGAGGTCCTACCTCAAGTGGAGGAGTTTAAGTATCTTTGGGTCTTGTTCACGAGTGAGGGTAGGAGGGATCGGGAGATCGACAGGCGGATTGGTTCGGCATCTGCAGTGATGCGGACGCTGAGCCGATCTGTCGTGGTGAAGAGGGAGCTGAGCCAGAAAGCCAGACTCTTGATTTACCGGTCGATCTACGTCCCAATCCTCACCTATGGTCATGAGCTTTGGGTAATGACCGAAAGAACAAGATCGCGGATACAAGTGGCCGAAATGAGTTTCCTCTGTAGGGTGGCCGGGCTCAGCCTTAGAGATAGGGTGAGGAGCTCGGACATTCGGGAGGGACTCGGAGTAGAACCACTGCTCCTCTGGATTGAAAGGAGTCAGTTGAGGTGGTTTGGGCATCTGGTCAGGATGCCTCCTGGACGCCTCCCTGGGGAGGTGTTTCGGGCATGTCCTGCCAGCAGGAGGCCCCTGGGTCGACCCAGGACACGTTGGAGAGGTTACATCTCCAATCTGGTCCGGGAACAACTTGGGGTCCTGCCGGAGGAGCTGGTGGAGGTGGCCGGGGAGAGGACGGTCTGGAGCTCCCTAGTTGGGATGCTGCCCCCGCAACCCAGACCCAGATAAGCAGAGGAAGACGACAACGAGTAAATTAGCTCTACCTGAGCCCCACTCCTTCAGAGCTCAGGTAGACTTTTGGGTGTAAACACGTCACAGGAATCTGGACTGTACCTGACTGAGCTGATGTTCTGATGGTTCTTACACTATCACAGGTTCAATTGGAGGATTTTATCTTTAGACTTTTCTACTCAATGACTGCTGATAGTTAATGATATCACACTAGCTTGTTTACTTTACATCAGACCTTTAGATATTCTCCACACAGGAAGTGAAGGTTGTTTTTAGCTCTTATCTCCTCCATCAAACCCAGCAGAAACATCAATGTTCCCCAGGGTGACCCTGCAGAACCCTTTGATGCTCACAGCTCAACACATTTTTCTAAAACAATTCAGTTTTCAGCCAACAGCTGTTTGTCTGAGGACACTAGACTGTTTCCTAAGGATGAATGATTGGTTCAATATTTACAAAAGAATAGTTTGCTGCTTCAGGAGCCCTTCAATACTTTTAGAAATGTGGTGTTTCTGTGTGTATGTGTGTGGGTGGGTGTGTGTGTGTT